GTAGCTCCGAGACGCCCCTACTCAAGGTAGCAATCTGATCTATGCTCCTATAGCTATTGAAATGCCTCATAAGCTGCAGCACAGCCTGTAGTAAGCTTGCGCATTCTCGGTATTGTCTTGTTTTGGCCAGACCTCTGAGTTGTTCGTAAGCAGTCGTGAGCATCTGTAACCTTTTCAGAGCCGTCATGCTCAGGGTCAAGTTCTTCTTTGTGCCATCCAATCTCTTGATATCTGCGGTCATCGAGGTGATTGTTTGCTCTGTTTGTATAGCCCGTGTTCGTACAGATTCAATCTTTTTAAAGAGATCTGCAAGTTCCGACTTTGCAGACTGCATTCGTTTGAGCGAGGAATCGTCATTGTATGCTTGAGTGGCCACGAGATGGGTAATATTGCTTGACAGTTTATCCTGATGAGTCTGCAGCGCAATAGCCGTCTGATTTGTAGAGGTCAAAGTCGAAGGATGGGAAAATATCGTGTTTAAGTGAACGATAGGGTCATAATCGGCTGGGGTTGAGTGCGATCAGTGGGGATCATTGACTGTGGTGGACGGAGGTTTAGGACTTACATGCATCTAGTGATGAAGGTATCGATGCGCCATTCATGCTGTGATGAATATCATGAATTAAATTAAATTATTAAGAGTAGTACTCAATATGCTAATATCAAATACATGTGTGAGTAAACCAACTAAATATTGATGTGTGGTTATGGAAAGGTGTGGGAGGTGGTCGCAGGTCGCAGGTCGCAGGTCGCAGGTCGCACTTGTCTATGATGTACTATATCCCTAAAATTAGTTAGCCTCGTTAGCCACATATAAAATTATGACAACGTCTACGAGTATTTACTAACAAAACTTTTTAAATAAACACCGGTACGATTGATTTCAGAAATCGTGATCTTTGAGCTCTATTGCACAGGTATACTTTTTGAATCGCCTTATTATACATAGAGCCGGTATACCTAGCTATGAGCATTCTTGTCTAAACTCCAAAGTACTTTCAGACCACCACCCAATGATGTTTCCTTTGTCATTTCGTCATAGCTCATAATGAAATCCCAAATCCAGAGAGACAGCGCTTTCAGTGTCCAAATATAAATTGAAACATTGAAGAATTCCGTTTCTCAAATCCGTCCTTTCAGATCTTTCAATCTTCGACATAGATTCGAATATTGACAAGTCCCATCTCCCAACCCTCCAGAATAACACTTTCGGTGTCCCATATTCTAATTTAGAGAAGCTATGAATCATGCAAAGCTTTGAATCCAGATGATATCAAGCTTCTTGGACCTGGCGCATCTGCCGTCCCTGTCCAGTAAAACAATCCCTGCATTCAATCAGCAAACACATATAGTCAACAAAAAAAGAGCCAACTTACTCCGAGACGCCTCTGCCTGCAGTATTCAGCCTTCATCTTGACCGTTTGTGGGTTGTCGTAAGAGATGAATCCTCCATCGTCTCCAAAGCAAGAAGCTGAAACAGTGGTAGTATCAACTATCTCTTGAGTTCCTGGCCTTGGTAACGACTTATACTCGAACGTTCCATCTTCTCCACCGCAACCCTGATACGGGTGCCCTGGTCCTCTTGTGTTTAGGAAGGATCTTCCGTATACTGGAACCCCAAGTAGTATCTTGGAAGCAGGGAATCCAGTCGATATAACGTAATCTATCGCAGCGCTTCCACTTGCTGCATCAGGTATATTTCCAGGATGAAGTTGAGCGTGGTGTCCTGCGTTTTGGGACCATGGACCAGAGAAGTCGTAAGCCATAAGATTGATTAGATCTCTAAAGCAAGATTATACGTTAGTACTGCTAGATTATAAATACTGTTACGGTTCGGGATCAAGAGATCAAAGTTTTGATCCTTGGGGTTGGGTAGTTAACATCCGTCCTTACAGATAATCCTGAGCTTTATAAAGGTCGATGTGTTGCAGAGCCCATTGCCCAGCAGGTAAAGCAGCCGTCAACAAATATCTTTCATCGGGCAGATGAAGCCGAACAGCAGCGAGGAGAGCAAGGAAATTTTGACCTTGTTCGCCATCTGATGGATGTTCCCAGTCGACTAAGCTCGTCAGTAAAGTTCAATCTGCCACAGGATCAAAGACTTACTGTCGATACCATGAAAACCTGTTGCATCAACGAGACCTCGGACTGACTTTCCAAAGTGATCTCTTGTCACAGCTGAAGCAGCAACTTGTTCAAAATTATGACTAGCTGCACCGCCACCTACAGAGATAATGAGCTTTAAATGCGCATGCTCTTGTTTCAAACGCATAAACGACCCTAGGCAGCCAGTGGCACCGTCGACGGGCATTTGCATATCTGCCCATTCATCACTCAACTGCTAGGGTTAGCAACCAACGGTCGGGAGCCTTGCTCTGAGGAACAAGAGACTAACAAAAACTCCACCATCTGGGCCAACGTGAGCAAAAGCATAGAAGACATGACTGATACAGCCGTAGTTCAGCGACGCAGGTGTCTCGCCACGATAGACTCGATAGTTGGGATAGTACACGGCGTTTTTGTACATAATGTTAGAAATATTCGCTGTGATTGCTGGCTGAGAGGGTCTGCGAGCGTCTACCTGTGGTCTCGAGTTCCACGGTATAGGAGGAGCTGCGTATGGATATGACATCTCTAAGAAGAGGAAGAGGGATGAGTGTCAGTAGACGTTGACCTGCCAAAAGTTTTTCTTCTTATATCAAGTCTACGTCAGGGGAGAAGGATATGAAAAGAAAATGGTTTGAAGAACTGGTTCCGAGATAGACGAGAAAGGCGAGAACTTGGAAGCACCTCTTATGGCCAAGAAAAGCGTCAATGTGTGAAATCTGGTACAAAGAATTCTCTCGCAAGGCTGAATATAATGCTTGGGAGATGGAGATTAAAATGATCGGTAACTTGGTAGTACATATGCACGAGACATGAGGATGGGGAGAGATCAAACATACATATTCACTACTAGATCCACGAGCAAACTATTTAAACATGATTGAGAATATTGTGGAGGCTTGTGGTAGTGGATCGATGAAGAAAAAGGTGTGTGGGGATGATGACTTTGTAAGGAAGTTCCCAGTTGCTTCTGGATTTCAAAATCAATGGCAAGACGACTAAGGGGAGATCCGAGCCATAAGACGACTACTACTAGCCGAGTTAGTGTGAGTTGACTGAGTTTGAATGGCGTGTAGATACCTAAGTAGGTAGTTCCTCTTCCTTCAATGTATTAGACACAGCTATGAGTGCCGTATACAAGCTAATACCGGTAAAAGTATCTATAAGCTAGGTGTCCCGAATGTAGATCTGCACTACCTACTACCTCGCACAACCCAACCTACACCAAGACCAAGACCAAGACCAGTACCAATACCGTACCACACTACAGCAATCTAATGCAGCGCTTATCGCCTATAGACCCTAGAATCTGGAGGGGTAAAATGGAGGGGTCAAATGGAGGGGTCAAATAGAATGGTAAAGTATCATGTTACCAGTGGCATGGAATAAGGTTGGAGTTTCCAATCACCAAGATCAAAACGTGCGTGCAAAGTTCGTGTTCTGACTCGTTCATTAATCTTGCATGCGGCCATGATAGTTGTCAATGTCAATAATGAACCCTAACAATGCACCTTCAGGCATCGGTAACCAATCTATGAATTGACCGTAATCATCGCTATTAACCCTGTCCTTGCTGCATCAGTGTCGTGAGAAATTCTTTAAGCATTCATGATCTTTTTATGGGTATTTGTTTCCGGTAAGAACAACTGGCAAGAGTCTGAGAAAGTGAATACGGTACTGTAACTACAGTAGGTTGTTTGTACATGTGTTCCGAAAGCTCGCGTCTCGAATATATAAAATGTGTCAGGAATTGTAGATGTAGGTCACACAAAAGTAGTTGATGTAACCGTTGAGGAAAAGATATAAATATGTGGATCGGATCGAATCGGTAACAAAAAGATCAATGGCCACAGCTTCTATTCGTGAAGATGCCGAATCTTTCTAATTGGCGTGCATGAGGAGCCGAGTGATATAAAATTTTGAGGTGTATTCAGCCGGACTGTGTTATTGTATAAAGTAGTGTGCATGAAACTTGGGTATCGTTCAGATGAAGGATTTCATCATTAGGCGTTGGGTCATTGGGTGCTAGAAACACATTACCCGTCGGTCTGTTGGTCTACCGGTATGTGTACTCTATACTTAGTATGCAGTATGTACTCGTCGTTGCGTTGAAATCCACCTTGGGCAAATCAAAATATAATGATAATGAGATTCATGGATTTGTCCATTCTCCTTCTCTTCCATTTCCATGTGATTACTAATACGCGAGGCTGTCAAAAAGTATTCCTTGGCGACATACATCAATAACTTCTTTCAATTAGGAGCCCCTCTCAGATCCATTTGTTAAGAAACTTTCTCCGATTATACCTAGGTATTTTCCCGTTTAGTGTGTGTCCAGAAAAATCCAAAGCAACCTTAAGCCTACCTATTTAGAGCTCATCGAACTTCACCATATCCGCGAACGCCCAACATATCCATTTGCTCTGCTCCGTCCGGCACTTCGCCTTGCAGTTGTGAAATTAACATTGATACCGCCAATTCTCGGCCTCCTCTCACAGTACAATATATCCCTAAACATGGCTGAAATATTACAACAGAAGCCCAGTGCTTTCGCAGCGCAGGCTTCAGCTTCTGCAGCCCGCCAGATTCTTGATCATAAAGCTCCAGCATACAAGTTCTCATTCACGCCTTTTCTAGTTAATAACTTTCGCATGGGTATTTCTCCCGATCGGCCTGCGTGTAAAGCATATCTTCAAGGACACTGCCCTCTCGGTACTAATTGCCCTGATAAGCATGCTACCAATCCCAATAATACATGGAACTTCAACAACCTGGTATGCAAACATTGGCTGAGGGGCCTTTGTAAGAAGGGTGAAACCTGCGAGTTTCTCCATGAATTCAATTTGAGGAAGATGCCAGAATGTAATTTCTTTGTCAGAAACGGGTATTGCTCTAATGGAGGTACGTTTACATAGTCGTTTGATGCTTCGGGAGGGCCACTAACAAGCTTAGATGAGTGCCTTTATTTACATATTGACCCGGCCTCTAAGGTTGGAAACTGCCCACATTACGACAAAGGCTTTTGCCCGCTTGGTCCTAGATGCTCCAAAAAGCATATCCACAAGACTCTTTGCGAGTTCTACCTAGCAGGATTTTGTCCCGATGGATCAAAATGTAAAAAATCACATCCCAGATGGCCTTCGGACTTACCAAAGCCAACTATCAAGGTCGAGAGAGATCCGGAGGAGATTGCCGAAGAACAAGCAAAGCTTAGAGAGGCTGCAGAGAGGGAAGCAGATAGAGAAAGGGGTTTTGGGGGAGAAGGCGGTGGCCGCAGAGGGAAATGGAGAGGTGGCTTTAGCTATCGTGGAAGGGGTGGTGGAGGAGGAGGAGAAAGAAGTCAACGAGGACGCGGACATTAAGGATGCGAAATCAATACTCCATTCTGTATGTCTCACGCAGCTGCAACACGCTACGGATGCGGAGAACCCTGAATGGACTTACATATGCGAACTTGCGAAGTATGCTTTGCGAAAAGTCGAACCATCAATGACCAGGACGCAATAGTATTAACAAGCAAACTATTGGTTAAACAAGTCTCTTCGCGCCCGTCGAAGTAACGCCATGCTCCTTGTCACACCAATACTAACAGAATCCTCAATTGATCGTCACAACTTGTGACAATCAAAGAAAACGGGTCATCAGTGTCATATCATGCAAGGCAAGCCCCGTCCCGCAGACCATGCAAGAAGCCCGTCTTCATCACAACAAGCCTGAGACAAACCCAAACTAGCCATATTATAAACAGGGTTTCGGACGAGATGATTTAAGCAGATATGTCCAGGATTGGAATCGCAGCATGCTGGTCGGTCGCTTGCCCGTTATTTGCGATTCTCCATTGGGAATTAATTTTTTCAATACCGGGTATTTTCAAGCGGCCTAAAACACTATAACGATTTCCGCCACAGAAATAGCGGTGGTCTAGATGACCATGATGGGGGTTCCGCAGTCTCAAATTCGGGTCGGATTTGGACATATCAATAGTGCAATGCAGTCTTTATCCAAAGTAATCACGACTCAGCATGGGCCATGCCAGTCAATCTGCATCCCTGTGACACCTTTGAAAATCCGGGCACTATCAGTGACAAGTGGAATTCAAATTGATATCAGTGTTGTAATAACTACGCATGATGTGACTATGGTTAACGTTCAAGAGCTGAGATGCCTCCGATGCCTGCCCACCCAAACCCCAAATTCCCAAAACGCCTTAATTCGATATTCAATGATACAAGGTATCCTACCAGAAGCAAAGAGATAGGTAACCCATTCCATCTCAACCCATATATACTATCCTAAGGTTCAAATCTCCTATTCCTGATTCCCTTCCATGTCCATAACCGAAATGTATTCGCTTCCCGCTAACCCAGCTGCCCCACTTATGTCACTACTGTCCGGCGTGAGAGCTCTGCCCTCAAAACTAGACGTGCTTGAACTTCTGGGTATACTCCCATGAGAATCCCCCTCTGGGGTTTGTGCGTTAAACTTTCTAACCCCCATCATCCATCCTACCAATCCCCGAGGTACGCATGCACCGATAAATCCGTATACACTACTTCCCATACCAACTCTGATGACTCCGCCGGTTTTTCTTTCCATGGCGTCGTAGACGGCGTTGTTTAATTCTCGTAGACTGCTTCCTTTTCCGTGACCTCCCCCTATTGATCCACATCCCATTGCTGCTCCTACATTTCCGCTATTGATCGCGGCGTAATTGCGTGAATATACGTTTCGGGAGGTGGAGTCCCATTCTGAGTTTGCGGGAGGGGAATGGTTGCGGTAAGATTGCAGTTGGTTTTTAGGGCCAAAGAAGGAGAAATCGAAGGTTCCGAGTTGGAGGTTAATGACGGGGATGGAAAGGGGGGAAAGTTCGGAGGTGAGAATTTGGGTGAAGGTTTTGAGAAAGGATGTAGTGGAGGATTCAGGCGCATGGAATGCGGGGGAGAGAGAGGGAATTATGTTAGGGGTTAGGACGAGAACAGAGGGCTTGGGGATACCAAAGCTGTCGGGGGAGTCTTGGAACGGTAGTTGTGTGAGGAGAGGAAGAAAGTTTTGAAGGGTAAGGATGGGGTTTAATAGACGAGTGTTGAGGAGATCCGATAATGCTGATGCGGATAAGGTGGCGATTGGGGAAGACGGATAAGTAGGTGAAGGAATGAGAATAAGTGATCGGAATATCAAATGGTGTGTTTTACCACCTTGGAAAGGAGAATGTGGTGCTCGCAAGTGGGCTGTGAATCTATCGATTGCAGCAGAGGTGCTTGACGGCTGGAGAAATATTAGTTTGCATATCTCGGGTGACTATGGATACAAACTCACATCAACAATATCAACCATCAACGGTTTGATATCTTGTCTGGCTTCATTTTGCACCAGAACTTCCTCCTCTATCGTATTACACACAATATACACAATGAAGCCTCTACGCTCCAAATCCAACGAAACTGATCTCGTTATCGGTTCCGAGGGAGATCCTGCAATCACCACGACTTCTTGTCGAGCGCCAGTCGCAGCCCGCTTAGCTCTGCGCTTCTTGCGGTAATTTGACTTCTTCCCGATGACATGATATGTCACTCCACCGAGTACTATAATAATAGCTCCTGTGAGGAGCTTGTTCTTTGATACCCATTGTTCAATTCGAGTGAATACTGATAGAGATACCGAGGGAGTCCGAGTCGGCGGTGGTGGTCTCGGACGTGCAGACGGGGGGATCCATTCTGAGGAGGCAAGAGACACTCTTATTGATGCAGCAACCTTTTCAATGTGTCTTTCAATGTAATCTGCAACATCGTTGCTATACCTTTTGATATCGTTTGGTACGGAGGACAGCTGCAAAAAAGATGGTTGTTAGTGGCTATATGAAGCTTGGAAACTAGTGGGTCACATACAACGTCCAAGAATACTTGATCGTCCGCAGACATGTTAAAGTAGCAGCTTGTTGATAAAATGCACTGAAAGGTCTTATTGATTGATATTGGATGTGGAAATTCGCTCCAAGTGTGGGGAAGCGATTTCATAAGTTGTCAGCCTTGCCCTTGCTCGGCTTATCGCGCAAAATATATATCCCTAGGGGCCGCTTATCCGCAATGCTGGGGAAATTACGTTACTATGTCAGCCTTGTCGTTTGCCTTCTTGATTAAAACTCATTAGAAGAACTTCCATGACCAATAAATATTCTAGTAATTTCTAGATTCATTCGTTTGCGTCTGTTCTTCGATAAGTTATTCCGTCGCTCGTAACTTTGAGGCATCTTTGGGAAGATTAAGACAATTTCCCGCACTACGAGTTCACTTTTACTACTAAATATCTGAACATGTCTGCTAATACTGAACGCGATGCACTAATATCGTCATATTCTCACTTAAAGAGTCAGAAACGAGAATCTGAAGCTCTCCATTCTCTTCAGAAAATTGCTTCTCTGGTCAAGCCTATCATGAGAGCACGCAATTGGCGCGTGGGTACTTTAACAGAATTCTACCCAGATCAACAAAATTTGCTAGGTATCCCAAGTTGCTCGAATTTGTCGTGGTGGAAATCTGACTCAAGAGTAATAGGCCTTAACGTAAACAGAGGACAGAAAATATGTCTACGTTTAAGATATCCAGGAGATCAGAATCAGTTTTTGCCGATGGAAGAGGTGGTCGATACAATGCTTCACGAACTATGCCACAATGAAATTGGACCCCACAATCAGCAATTCAATGCGCTATGGGATCAACTGCGAAAGGAACACGAGGGTCTGGCATATAAGGGATACACCGGAGAGGGTTTTTTGTCGGAAGGAAAGAGCTTAGGTGGACGAAGAGTGCCACGACACGAAGCTAGACGTCTTGCTCGTATCGCTGCAGAAAAGCGGCAAAACGGGCTGACAGGATCCGATCAGAAGCTTGGAGGTCGACCAATACCATATGGCACCGATATTCGAGAAGTCATCGTTAACGCGATCGAACGTCGCAACAAAGTCCTCAAAGGCTGTGGAGGGAGTAGGATGAATCCTATCGAGATCAAAGATTTGGCCGATGAAGCTACACAGAATGGTTTCAAAACCCAAGCAGAAGAGGATCAGGCTAATGAGGCAGCTATTGCTCAGGCTATGTGGGAGCTCGTTCAAGAAGATCAGAAAAAGGAATACGGAGATCTTTATATTCCCCCTATCGTTCAGAACCCAGCAGGAAATGGCGGGGATAATGTTAGGGAACAGGCATCGGATCAAAAGCCTAACTCTTCATCTAAACAACCTTCATATAAACAACCCTCAACTTCGAACACAACCTCAATTGGGATGGGATTACATAGGCAGCCTTTAGGCCACGTCAGTCGTTTGGTCTTCGAAAATTCGAACAAAACTTTAAGCCCGTCTCCGAAACCAAAGGATCCTCAAAACGAGCCGGCACGAGGACCAGTATATTCGGCACCGGCCTTGACAGGATGGACGTGTACTATATGTACACTTCACAATCCAATTAAGTTCTTGTGCTGTGATGCTTGCACGACCGAGAGGCCTGAAACTATCACGAAGCAGGTTACTCACAATGCCCAAAGGAAAGCCGCTGCTACAAATCCTCATACACCACCGCCACAAACTTGGACTTGTCGGTGGTGCAGTACTAAAATTGAAACCCAGTGGTGGACTTGTTCTACCTGCGGGAAAATGAAAGAAGATTCCTGAGATGACGAAACCGTTGAATGATCATGTTCACGAGCAATACGATTACGAAGATATGACTGGAGTATACGAGCTATTGGGCAGGATACATATCGGCGAAGGTTCTTTTATGACGGGTGTCATATATAGCTAGAGTAGCTTTGGTACCTAATAAGTCTATGACAATCGAAGCACCGCATTCACCATTTGATCTGTTCTCCAAGTGGTATTTGATTACAAATCTAGTGATTCGAGTCGTCATCCAAATCCGAACATCGAATTTTATATTCGGCTTTTAAGTTTTCCCCTTTTCCTCTGGCTCGGCCCAGGCATGAAACCACCGCCGTTCTCGGAGGCAGCGATGTCAGTATCATTGATTAACCCTGCTAGGAGCTTCTGTACATTAAAAGAATATTGTATATCCTAATTTCTTCAAACTGCGATTTCTTGAATTACTAAAGTTCAATTAATTATGACTACCGCCGCCAAGCTTCGCACTCTTCTAGCTAATCAGGATGAAATTATTGTTTGTCCAGGTGTATACGATGGCTTCACCGCACGTCTTGCACTCAATGCAGGATTCAAAACTTTATACATGGTGATTTTCTACCAACCTAACCAATACTACCTTTCAGTTCATGCCTCGAAACAGTAACTGACAATGTGAAAAATAGACAGGTGCGGGAACAACTATGTCCTGTCTTGGTATCGCGGATCTAGGAGTCGCCACCATGAATGATATGCGAGACAATGCATCCATGATAGCCAATATCGATCCCACTACTCCGTTGATTGCCGATGCTGATACTGGATACGGAGGTACGCAGATGTTCTCTCCCATCTCAATCAATTCGATGTAAACTCATTCATCAAATATCACCTGATATGAGATGATATTAACAACCCACCAGGCCCCTTAATGGTATCTCGTACCGTCGCCTCCTACATTTCCGCAGGTGTGGCTGCCATGCACATCGAAGATCAAGTGGTCAATAAACGCTGCGGTCACCTGCGCAACAAAGAACTTGTTCCCCTCGCCGAATACACCTCAAGAATCAGGGCCGCGGCTCTCAAACGCGAGGAATTACACCGGGATATTGTGATTATCGCGCGAACCGATGCGTTAGCCGATCAAGGCTATGATGAAGCGGTCACGCGTTTACATGCAGCAGTGGATGCGGGTGCCGATGTGGTATTTTTAGAGGGCGTAAGGAATGTAGAGGAAGCGAAGAGGGTTTGTGCCGAGTTTGGAGAAAAGGGGGTCCCATGTTTGTATAATTGTGTACCAGGTGGTATGAGTCCGATACTGAGTGTGAAGGAGGCCACTGAGTGTGGGTATAGATTGATTATTACACCTACGTTGGCGCTCGGAGCTGTCTATGAAAGTGTAGGAAAGGCATATAAAGAACTTTTGGAAGAGGGAAACACTAAGGGGAATGGGGTGGCGGTGAGAGATCTTTTTGATAGTTGTGGGTTGAAGGAAGCGACAGAGTTTGATGTTAAAGCTGGGGGAAAGCTTTATGAAAATGGTATATGAGTTTGATTGAGGTTTTGGTGCGCAATTTAGAAATCAAGGAGGGCCATTCTAGGGATTTGGATGGAAGATGGAATGGATGTCGTTGGGACAGTGAATGTACGATGTTTTAAGTGGCTATTTTTTTTCGCCCCGCTTGGCCACGTGGTTTGGAAGATTATATTTCTCCATCTGTGTTCGCCGCTCATCTACTTATACAATCTGCTCATAGATAACCATTATGCACCGAATACCGGTACATCAGGTTAGTAAATTGAGTGGAAAGATTACATTCTGCTGTTCGAGCGCATAGTACATGCAATAACCCGGAACTTTCTCAACCGACAGAAGTTTATAGGAGGTTCATGGACATATATACACAGCCTGACCAGTCTATTATCCATCCACAGTAGACAAATCCGGATATCTAGATCGACTATATACCCCACCCAAAATCGTTTCATCAATCCAAAATCTGCTTTTCGTACTGTCCAAGTTGGGATTTTTCAATATCTCATCCTTCTTCTTGCAAAATGCCATCGGTCTCAGGACTTCTCCGGAGTATTTGCGGCTAGTAGCCTCCGTCTCAAGTTCGGCTCTCACTTTAGCATCTAGTGTGCGAGTCCTCGAGTATATGCAAGTACATGATCAAGGATCTCTCACTTAAAAACCCAAGTAAGGTTTCTACGACCTATTAGGTTAGCTATCGAGACTATGCGGGAGCTGTGGTGGTTATGTTGGTTAGACTTTAGACTTTAGATTTTATAAGAAATGAAAGCTCATTGCTCAGTCATGAGTTGGATATGAGAAGCGATGTTTTTGGGTTATTGATTGCGGCTAGAATGATGTGATGTGATGTGTGATTACTGCGTTACTGAAATGTTTAATATGCGGTTGCGGATTATGAGGTTATAGACTACGATACAGGTTAAGCTACTCGTATATTTCCAGACATACATACTTTCTGCTAGAGAGAAAAAGCAACTAGTTCGTTTTATTAGCACCAAAAGAGAATAGAATAAAAGAGCGGGAAAGAACGGAAAATGTCAATCGAAGGAGCCCTAAGCCCACTGTCGTTAAATCCGTCATCGTTAAACCTGTCATCACTAAACCCGCCTCCAAACCCTCGATCCCATTTATGTTACTTTTTTTTCAGAAGTACTGACGATCTCGCAGCCCTCCCTCCACAGATAAGTTTACCGTGAAGCTTTATAACAACCAACGCTCCTTCATATTTAGCCAAAAACAACCTATTGAAATACAACCGTCGCCAGTTCTATGACCTGAGCATCATTTGCCTGAAGCAAGCTCCCTGCCCAGTTCCTCTGGGCCAAGACGAGATCCTTAACGGGACGGCAAAATGGAACATTATGGAAGAGATTTGGAAGTCTTACGGTAGAGGAAAAGGCTGAAAAGCCAAGCTGGTCAACCATAGCACACGTATATGCCTAATCCCTATCAAAGAAAGATTGCAGTTGTTTATGGGCTCATCTCAAAGATCCGCTTGCTATACATCCAGTAACTACCATTTGACATCCATGGACCATGATAAATATCTGTTTCAAAAACGCGGGACTCGGGAGACTTTCCGACTTGAATATTCGGATATATGATAAACATCTCAACTTTGAGGGGGGTTGAAGGGGTATGATGATATCTAGGTACTCAAACATAATACTCTGCCTCGCCGATTAGTTTCAGCACACTAGCACTGTACTGTAATATCAAGGGCTAGAAGACATAGGGGAAGTCTTGCAAAAGTTTAAATCTGTGGAACACTATGTGTACTCGAGTATATATCAATCATCCACGTTTAAGTGGCTCGAAATTCGAATTGTAAGGCACGCGACGCTATGGTTGTGAGGAAGCTTTATTGAATTTGAATGTACCTAGGTGGGTTTCTTCACGAAGTATATAATATGAACCTCGACTTCAGGTTTAGAAAAAGTCGATTGCAATTGTATTGATATTGAAAAGGAAAAGGAGAACGAGATTGGAGTATAACCATAAGGGGGAGAAATCGATGTAAAACAAAGCAAAGGCAGCTAAGGTCAATCTTCAAGATCAGACAATATATAATGACGAGCTTTGACTCCGGAGGTATATTAAATTGATATTCATATAGATTGAATAGTATTTTTCAATATCATTTCTTCAGATTTTGTTTTATTGATGTTTTGAAGTAGTGTACTAATATTGAAGAGTTATTGTGAGAAAACACATGACTTTTTTAAAGAAATGTTCATTTTCGTGCACTGACCAATGCATCATAAGAGTGTTTTATAATATGAAAGGTTAGATTACAGCCTCAATATAACATAACATAGTTGTTAGTTAAATGATTTGATACTAAAAATCAAATCAAATATCAGTACTCAGTATATCAAATGAAAAAAAAAGTACAGTACGAAAACCCAATAACAACCCTCTCTAACTCTCCAACAAACTCAAACATAACCTTACAGCACCCCCAAAGCATTTCTTCTCTTTCTATCCTTCTCATCAACGAGCAAACCACAAAAAGTGTGGCACCCCCCCATCCAACCCTGTGTAACCATGCATATGCATCCCGCGCGCCAAAACCCACCATCACATCACATCACAATGATCACATAAGCCGTCATAAACCTAGTAAGTTACCATGTCTCGTCTCGTCTCGGTTACACAGTCTCCACCCCTTCATCTGCTTTATTATCGGGACGTTTTCTGGGGGGGTTTTTCCGCATAGTATTGATGAGTTTCGGGAGCTGTTCCGAGAATGAGGGGATGAGGGAAAAGAGGGCGGAGTGGTTGGTAGGGTCGTAGAGAAGGATGGGGATGGAGACAGGGTTGTGTATTAATATAATATTCGTGTGTAGTATATGTGAGATAGCATCATGATTTTAAACTCTAGAATTGGGCGCAAGAGTTGGAGTGGGGGTCATTGAAGATATGCGAATATGCGAATGTGCAAAAGTGGAGGATTAGGAATCGGATGCAATATGCAATGTAATGCAATGCAACGCAAGTGGAAGGGGGAAGGGGAAGAGCTAGGAGCTGCCTAGTTTCTTTTTCCGAGATTCTGGATTCATTTTTTTTATGTAGCGGTGGGAATCGAGTAGGGATGGGATGGCCAAGTATCTTGATCGAGCGAAATACTGTATTGTATGTAAGACAAAAGTGAGAGTGGGGGATCAAGGAGATAGATACATGATGTTGAGGTTTTGTATAGAAGAGCGGTGGGATATGTATACGTATACAGTAGTACGTAATATAACCGACGTCCAGATTCCCTGCTGTGAACGACACCGTTACACGATACACGATACACGACAGGTGAAACCATTCCACCTTTCATTTCAGTCTGCTGATCTGATCTGATCCGAACTCATCTGATACTGCAGCTCACCATCGGACCATCGTATCCCCAAGGAAAGAAGCTTTGTATATCATATCATATCATTGTACTACAACGTGGAAAAAGAATGGGGTGATATAAAGAGACTCCAAATTGCTGTACTCCCGCCATCGCCATGGCTGCTCCGAACCTTGTATGTTCCTCATATCCCAATTGCCCAGCCTGTTGCAGTGATTAACCCATCGCTATCACTATCGCCCATCGCCAGCCATAACATATACCACGCCCGCCAATCAAAATCAAAATCAAAGAACAAAACATACGAATCCCATTTTAGAAATTCCCCAAGAAAAAAGCAAACAGTTAAAACACCCAAAAGAAAACATGTCAATTTTTCCTAATAACTTGACTCCTCATTGTAACAACACGCTTGGTCCTCTTAGAACCCGAGCTCTCAAGCTCGTTTTTTGGGGGGGTTTTTTTTTTCCTTTTATTCTCCTCCATAATTCGCGTGGGCTTTCGAGATCGACGGCTCTTCGTTCGTGATCTTGAAGATCGAGCGAGTAAAATTCGAGGGGTGTTAGGCCGTTGGGAATGGTGTCTAAACCTTTCAGGACTGGTTGGGGTGGGAGTGATATTGAGATGAGGGAAGGATTTACAGAGCTGCATATGGTGGTGGGTTTGCTGAGCATGATGGTGGAAGTTGGAAGAATTGCAGTTGATAGAATTGGAGGAGGCATCTGCTTGTGGCTCTCGGGTACTAATTGCGAGCTGGTCGCAGATACGATGGAGTAATCATCTTTTTCCTGGAAAGAATAAAGCTGGTCAGCGTTGGGAACGATGATCCAATCTTCTGGGTCATACGGACGTGGAGTATATAGACCCCAATTTGTGAGATAGGAGTGCAAAGTTTCGAGACTATGAAGATATCATTAGTAGATGAACATGAACAGCAGGAGAGATACGGAATGGTGTACACACGTGACATTAATATCGCGGAGATGAAGCAATTTGAGGATTTCTTCCTCAGACCTTTTGTCCGTGTAGAACTGTTCTGTGATCCAATACCTATGTAGATTTATAAGCTGTTCGACGGTGTACTCGATCCTTGGGCGTTCCATTTTAGCTGTTTAGAGTTTGAAAGTTGATGGTAGTAGTGAAGTGAAGTGCTAGTGTCAATAGGTATGAGGGTAGGGAATGATTGCTCTGACGAACTAACTCGAGCATCGGGTGGCAAGGCCATATTAATATGTAAAAGGCCCTGGAACACCAGATAGACGAAGAGCGGAGATATTAACTTCCCGGTAAGACAAAGGCAGGGCCAAGCCATAAGGCAAAACTTCTTCTTTTTATTAGAAATAGGCCGTGGATAGCAGGGCGGAACACATCAGATCCTAGTCAAATAGTATGATTGAGAAAAATGTATTACCCGCTTAGGCACCTACCAATCAATATGGACACCGGTTGACGAAACTGGTGTGGCTTGCATATACGTGGGAACAGGTCGAGGGGAGAAGCAGCAATTCAGACGATGTTACGGGAGACCACATGGGCGGCCCTGAAGACTATTCAAAAACCTTGTAGATAGATACATCTAAGTACCATACCCACGGTATCGGGTACCTTGAGCAGTGGATTAGTTCGCGGCAGATGGCGCGTTTAGTTGAAATTGATAGAAATTAGGTCGAGTTATTGTGGTTTTGTCATCTTTTCGAATAGTGGGGGTCTTCCGGATATAACGTAGAAGCGGTGAAGAGCCCGATTCACCAAGGAACGCGGTTAAACATCAGGAGGTTCGTTTCTTTTCTTTTTGCTCGCTCGGTAGATCTTTATCTTCCACGCCTGTAGCGGCAGAGAGTATTGGAAGCCGAACATGGTACAATGTAGCTAGTCAAAGTATGAATATACCCGAAGACCGACGTGTCAGAAGGGGATAGAGTAGAATATACAGTGTCTCCAGGGTAGAAATCATTCGGATATTTGTTTGAGTGGCTGACTTGCAAATACACATCCAAGGGTTAAAGGAATATTGACCAGGAATATTTTGTTGCCCTTAAACAGTTGAAACTCAATGTCTTTGCTCAGTCGATGATCGGAGCATTTGAACTAGGGTACATAGTGATCAAAATATGAGCGTTTGTTATTAAACCTTCAGGCTTTCGAATCGGCTATTCCGCTTCAAGCTTGAGTTTTGACCAATCACTCGAACTTATTCAAACAGTGGTTCAAGTGGTGATTGAGGGAAATGGGGTACTCGAGTACAGTATGACCGGATCTTTCGGGTTAATTTCCGATAACGAGCCCCCAGTCTTGTTGCAGGAAGAGAGTCGAGACCACCCTGTATAGCAGCCATATGCAGCTCAAAGTAGGTCTCCTAGAATCCTGGTATGTATATGAACCTGTTTTTGTTTCAATGTCTTGGAACGGATCAGCTCTTCGTCACTGAATCGTCAGCCATTTTCGTATATATAAAAGAACCTAATAAAGAACTATATCCGATAATCGAGGTATGTAGGGTTAGTTTATATCAAATTACAAGTATATGCCGGTAGTCAATCTTTCAGCTCTCGGTCCATGACCCCATAACTCACCAATCAGAAACTATCCGCCGTAATATTTTAGTGTGCACTTCCTCTTCTGGATATCATAGCTCTAGGTTTAACACCGGGGGTGTCTGAGGATGATTTGATGTCTGTCTACAGGAGAAGGGAAGGGATGGAGAATAAATCAGTTAATCTTTTAAGACCTCATCACATCACCTTACCTAGGTCCGTGCCAATCATCCCAACCCATTAAGTATGCAATATAATGGATGTGATATATAATAAAAAAATTGCTGTGCCAGCGGTGCGGAGTTGCGGCATCCCAAACTATCATTCGGATCGGATAAGAAACTCGGTAACACATATGTCCAATATGTGGCAGCCGATACAACCCAATACTCGAACCGAAACCCCTTTTGGGTATAGATCAGCCCGATTTGACCCAAGTATAATGCTCTTCCAACGGTCACTTGCATTTGAGGCAATATTACTGACAACCATGTGGAAAACACATGTTAGCAAGGGTTGGAAAGTCCCAATTATCGCAAATGAAGAAGACTATGAAGAAACCTATGAAGTTTGAATGTTTCCTGGCCAAATAGTTCCACTTTTCAATTGTCTCTCTAAGATAACTGTTGCAACATTCCGGCATCCCCGAGTATGCTTTTTAAAAATATACGCCGTATCCGCCCACAGCAAGTCTCGCCTAGCAGTTCTCCATACTTTCACGTTGTATGCGAGGTCGGATTTGGTAAGGGCAGTGACTGTTTCATCGCGGATCATCCATCGTCATCGTCATCATCAATTGGGGAATCAAATTGGCTACAAAAAATAAACATTATTGTGATCGACCCAGCAAATATTAACACTGCATAATTTGGACAAGAGATATTGCCTAGGCCATTTTGATTAATTTCATTAGGAGTTATCCGAGATGCCGAGTGATATACACTATGTAACAATACATTCGCAAAATTAGTTGAATCTGTGGATCAAGTGTGAATTTTCTTCCAATAGGATTGCAAAATTTTAGTCTGATCACCTATGATAGGAAAACCTTAAATCTTAACCCCTGCACTTGCATAAACAATTTTGCGAATGTATATAACTCGAGTAGGCATATAATATATACAATAGAGTTAAAGTTATATCTTGGCTGTTTGCTCGTTTACTTACTTATTACTCTTGTTGATTTTTCATAAATTATACGAATTGTATGCAGGGATGGTGGAACGGGACGAAGAATCTTTACCGTAATACTTCCATAATCCCTACATGTAAAAGTTTTGGCCCTCTATAAGATTCTCTACGCCAATTGGAAAATCTCTACAAAGTCCCGCATCGCTTGCAACAGGAGAGTGCTCTTGCGCTTAATATGGAATACAATGTCTGAGTTGCAAGGGCATGTAACAAAGCAAAGAATTCGCACCAGATCATCGCCTTGTGTCCTTTGGGGAAGACCCCTTACCAGTTTCCGGTGTCTGTCAACTTTGTTTTAGTGAATAAAGGAAGGGACATCATGCCGAACACTGCGATATCTGTCGGGGAGATTAAAAGCTGAATGACGTCGACAAGTTTCGCAACGCGCATATTTTCGTATCATTAATTTCAAATATCTCCTTTGGTGACTGGTCTCTGACCCCTATCGGGAAATCTCCTTCGAGGATACACCCGACGACGAGTCCTCAAACGATCAAAAGTGCATATGCCAAGCGGACGGAAACGAAGCTGATTACATACATACGATATCGTGGATTGCATAAGACGTCTCATACGTTACTCTTTACATTTACTGTCACATTCAAATCTATCCCCCTTCGCTCTTGCCTGTCACGAGATCATTTCGTCAATATGCAGGAAAAAGATGTGTTCTCGAAAAGTATTCGAAATACTCAACTTGCACTCGTATTTTGCTCATCTTCTCGCCATTGACTCGTTGTACGAAACGGTGTTGAGCCACTAGGGCGTCAATCTCTCCCATCATTACACTACATTCGCCTGCTGAAATTACGGTATTCGCAGTGGCAATCCAACCGGAATCCAAACCACTTCCCCTATCCACTGACCGCAGGGAAATTGCTGAGGTGGCCATTTCAGGGACATAAATATATCATTTTATATTGCAGGACTTGGGTATCCGCAAAGAGCCTATGGTATGACCGCCTCCCGGGGAAATGATTCCCGGCTCTACGTACTTTATGTACGTGGTCATTAAAACAGATCTGACTGCTCGGAAAATCTTCGTTGCATATGCCAATCATCTACTGTATCCCAGTCTTTGGTACCTCTTTGTGCACGTCCACGGAGGTGGTGTTATGGCTACTTAGTATAGTATCATCAGGCTTGCTGAACGTGCAAAGTCGATTGAAGCGTCCTTGCGTATACTCGACATCAAGTTATCTATCTGTCACACAACATATCGATCCGCGTCCCGGTCTAACCGATCTGACATACCACGCATTTGGGCCAACGTATGCGATGCCAAAGAGCGATTGACGCACATAAGATATCAGGCTCACTACTTCGAATAACCCGCATCAGCTGTGTACTCCTCCGGGAGTCTTCGCATTATTTCCGGTGTAGCATTGATACACGAACGGAAAACGATTTCCCGGTCTGACGGTGCGTCATGGCCTGATTTGTTGACAAAAATAAGATCATGCTTCTACATCCCACGCCAATAAATGTTTATTGGGCGCTTATTCATGTCACGAATTGGTATCATGGTCACTGGCAGTGTCGAGCACTTGAATTCCCACTTGGGATCTATCCGCTGGCTACCACTCGTCCAGGTATCCACGATGAAGTACCCATACGGCGGATAGGAATATTAACGTGTAACCCGAATCTACCAGAACACGTGAAATTGAAGTTATATTTCTTCGAATGTGAGAATACATTCGTAGGTATACCTCGCAACAGACCTTCTAGCCTGCAGCATATTTCTTGGCCACTGCCTGGTCACTTCTATCTATACTGGCATAGCTTTCGGATGATGATGGTAGTCGATCAAGTAGCATTGATATTGTATTATTGACTTCATTCCTCGAACTCCAGCATTTAATCATTGAACACTAGGCATAATAATGGCTCTGATACATTATACAGTCCATTTCAAGTTGCTTGCAGCAAGTAGATAATCAGCGAATGCCCCGTTTGGATCTTGATGGGTATGAAGTCCACCCATCGAGAATCAACTGGGTATAGATACCGGGGGCCAATACTAATATTGCTCAACTGTGAACATATCATCCAGTACTTTTGGCTACTTTTCTCAGGCTCCTTATGGACTTGGGCAGCACAATAGAAATGGTCGTGGGTAAACCGCTAGAGTTCCGAATGAGTTTAAACATTCAGATGATCTCAAATACTGGGATGAATTTGTATATTGAGATGGCCTTAACATTGAGACAGGACGAGTAGGTACAGATCCGTACATCAAGTGAAGTAAAGTTATCAGCGTTCACTTCCAATGAAAGTTATTCTCAGGGAGCACTGGGTTCCTTCCTTATATAGAAAAGGGGCCTGCCAATTCTTACCCATAAACAGGCTGTCAGAACCACTTTCCCGTTTACCTTCAAACATCACAATTTGTTGATCGAGAAAAATCAAGAGAAAGCCCATCCGTTGATTGTTCGACTATCTTAGACATAAAATTTAAACCTAGGTCTAACAATCAAATCAAGGACCAGACCGACCAGGCTTTTTCCAAAATGTCAAACTCAACCCCAGGCTGTTCTGGAGATCTCTCCCGTCCTCCACCAAATAATGCAGGAAAAGCTGCTAGAAAAAAATCTTTGAATCGGCATTATGTCCATCTTGCTGTTGATGAGATTTTCAGATTGAAGGGCAAAGAAGGTCTTGAATATGGAATGTAAGTATTCATGGCCTGCCGTTTTTTATTTTTAAATTCTCGTTTTGACTTCATTTATCAAATAAGATTGGTATGAAGTTGCTTTCCAATGTCCTAATCTGGATTCAACGATCAAATATCATTGACCTGACGTCTCGCAATACAATTTGGGCTGATGCCCTATACAATCATTCAACGGTCACTGAAACACGGCTGATAAATCTTCTCTCAGGCACCTTATTTTCACTCAAGAAGGTGGATTCTTCAGTACACCAGCCACGACTTCAGAAACTCGTCTTCTCAACCCTCAGAATTTCGATCGATCAGAGGCTGCACAAGCCCAAACCAAGCTCAGTAACTCCAACATCGACTATAAAGTTGATATTAGTTTGGTTCCACCACAACCTCTTCCAAAGAACGGCTACAAGGTTGATCACTTGAAGGGTATTTACATAAAAGCTATGAGCAGCACAATCCGCAATGTCAAGAAAAGGGAAGTCCGAGAGAATAATGCTAAGCAAATGGCCAGAGCTGAGGTGCGGAAAGCTTCAGGGTATGTTGAGAATGCCAGTGAAAGACAGAAGAAAGAGAACAATGAATATCGTGCCGAAATGTCTGGAACAAAGACAAGTGATGAGAAGCAAGCATTGGAAACCCTTGCGAAGCCACCACAAGAGCGGAAGAAAATTGATAGAAGTAGACCTGGTTGGGAGACGGCTGAAAAGAGACAGGAGGATAGAATTGGGAAGGACAGGAAAGCTAGGAGAAGAGCCGAAAAGCTACTGGGGCGATATGGAAAATTGAATGTTCGGGGCCAAGAAAGACAAGATGGAATTCAATAATATGAGAAATTCAGATTTCAAAAATGAGTAGGACAATCGGTGTGAGCATATCCTACAGCCAGTCAAAACATACTCGAGCTTGATAGTGCTGACCACAGCAATACGACAGATATGTGTATTCACCACTAAATACCAATCCATCTCGACCATCCTTGACCTGTAAGGAGGGTCAAAACCAGTTGACTGGCTATTGGGCTCGTATCAAATTGAAGGTGATATGATTTTGGGTTTTGGAGTCTATGACGAGCAACATGGGAATAGTGGAACTGTTGTTTCTATATGTGATTTTTAGATACGAGTAGATAGATATACTCGTCGAGTACATGTATTTATATCATTGCTTGCTGCTACAAAAGGTCCGTAATTGTAGTTATGTGATACGACCTATTCCTCATGAGTAACTACCGGTAACTACTCGGTAAGCTTTCTCTATGTATTTGAGCTATTACAGTAATCTTACAGTGTAATCCATAAAAAACAACTAGTTGTACGATTGATTGCTCCTTGCGTCAATGTTCAGGTAGGCGAAGCTCTTCTAAGGGGAAAGTGAAAAAGTGAAGAAGTAAGTAAAAAGCAAGTAAATTTAGATGTGAATATAAGGGGATGAGGTATGTTGGATGTGATGGTTGGGGATTATAATAAGGATTATATTATCCTGAATGGGAATTTGAGAGTGAAACAAAGGTTATGGGAAATTTAATTGATGAATAATATAATTCGGAGGGATGAGAGGAGGGGTGTTGATATCGAGAAGGGCAGGGCATTTGGTTTTTTTATGTTTAGTTTGGATTTATGGTATTGTTTAATATCTTGTCTACTTATACCATCTCACCTACCTAGTATCTTCTGCTTATGCTTTTACATATACAAACCATCTCAGCTCACCCAATATATGGCACTCGAGTATGAACAATCAATTAATCCATTCTCGTCGACTTCTCCCAACTTCCCTCAATACACTATCTCATCATACCATCATCCCACCGTCCCATTCACCCATTCCTTTCACCGCCCCCTCATAGACACACTTTACTTTACTCTATATAAGGTTCCCCCAGAACCCCCAATTATCAACATTTAAATCCTATATTCAGATTCAGTGTATTTTACTGTAAAATCTACAGTATGTATCTCATAACCAGATACCTCATACTAATACCTACCTCTTTAACTCCAGTATCCCTTCCCCTTGATCCAAATTCCCAGATACTACACTACACTATATCACACCACAATCCACAGTCCACAGTCTACAACCCATAATCTGCAATCCAATACTCACATCCACCACACAACCCCTCACCCCCATCCGCAAATGGTCGACTTTCGATATACTACCTAGTAGCTTTAGAGTAATTAACACCACACACCCCATCAAACACCATACACCATACACCATCATCCCATCTACACAGCACAACACAACACAATTCAACAAGAGAATACCTTACTAACCTCAGGACAATAGCCACTAACATATATCCATACGAGTATGCCCATATATCCATAGATCAATATATCCATATATCAATATATCCACATATCCATTAATGCCTCACAACAAAACAACTTTTTTCTTACTCACCAATTGAGTAAATAAACCTCTTCGCGAGGGTTATCGGAGAAGTAGTAGTAATAGCTTCTCCCCAAATGACTTTGGAGGATCCCGATATAAAGAGATAAGAATCTGGTCGAGTATGCCAATTTTCACCTCATTGCATCCGGGTTTTGGCGCAGTTTGACTTGACGATGTGATGCCTTTCTCAGGTTATTTCTCCCTAAAATTTTGAATGTAAGCTGCAAGTTGCACCGTCTCACATCATCATTTTAGTAAGATAGAGGTCCAGGACCAAGCTTGTATTAACTCCTTCTACAGACCAACTATGTCATGTAGAGTTTTTATGTTGAGCTCTAACTAGCAGCCAAACGCCTATTGTACAGTATCATGTGGAAATCATTACAATTCTTCGTCAACATCCATGTCCTGTGGTGCGTGCCCATTTGCCCCATTCTTCTCCTTGGGCGCAGATGCCTCTTTGTCGATCATCTGTCTTGAAACCGAAACGATGTTATCTTCGATGAGTCGTTGTCCAACATCCTCCAAATGCTTCTTTGGGTCAACCTTTCCAACGTATCTAGTCTTCAATTGATCTTTAGTCAACTCTGTCTCCTCCTTGACACGCTTCTCATAGCCTTCAGCAAGTCCAACTAGCTTTTGTAATCGCTCGGTGTTTCGGGTTCCCTCGACTCGGAAATCATCCATCTGGAGACCCTCAGTCCATACGTGCTTATGCAAATTCATCAACATGTTCTCTTCTAAGGCGGTTTTGCGATAGTTGATGCCGATGCTGTAGTAATGTCTGTTGAGGCCGTGAATAAGTGCTTGGATAGAAGGTTTGTTGAGATGCCCCAAATTGGATGTACTTTGGCGAGGTTCTTGACCGAGCATGAGAGATTGTGGGTTGATGAGACGGAAAGCATCAATAACGACTTTGCCCTTGACGGATTGAATAGGATCAACGACAACGGCAACAGCTCGAGGTGTCAATTGCTCAAATGATTGTTGTGTGTTGATATCGACAGATGATAGCCAGCAGCCAAAACCTGGATGTGAATGATACCAGCCAACAACAGTTTCTGGTCTGAACAAGATGGTATATTAGAACCATTTGGGTCTCGGGGAAGAGGAAGGTATACGAACCGCCCTGTCTGTCTTAACATATCCATCATTTTCGTCTGGAACACTGGGTCTACTGCCTCAACACTGACACCTGTACCACTTTGCGGCATGGCAAACACATCTACAACTCTAACTGTGAAGTCATCCACGAACTCTCCCAGCATTAGGCCCATAACTTCCATGGGTACACCAGCTCTGCCATGTCGTAACATCTTCAGCAGCGCCAACGAAGAGATATATACGGTTTCGGAGTTATCGATCAAATTTGGGTTATCCTGGGAATTATGTAGATTAGCTTCATATAAACCTGTCATACAATCGAGCTCGGGGATGCTGGATATTAGAAATAGAATAGCTTACAGATCCAGGTGCAGAAGAACTCAAGCCTCCCATCCCTCCAGCGGAGGCCAACATGCGATTTAACCTGTCCATATTGAATGCAGTGATCTGTTTATGAATGTAAAATAGGGTATCTCAAGAAAAAAATAAGGGTGTGGTTGAAGGCGAAAGTGGTCAAAGTCTCAATATTATTGAGGTGTTGTGAAGCTCCAACTTCAAGGCAGCTTAGAACGCGCATGAAGTTCCAATCCGAATAGCACGGTTATTATGTAATCAAGTCAACAAACTGTTCAGCCTTGCTTTCAATTTCTCAATCTCAGCCTCGTTAAGATCTTTTAGATCTGATTGATCCATTCAAAATTGCAGTTATAACTAGGTACCTTAAACCCTCATTCCATCCAATTAGCGATGATGTATGCTTAGCGCATTCGGTCGTCATTGGTTTCCCCCCGTCCGCACTTAAGCTCTCTTCTCAAGTTTCCCACACCTTTTATTCTTATCCCGCCGCCTTTCCCATTTATTTATCCTCATTTTAAACAGCCTCTACCCACAACCATCTACTCGTAGATCGACTGATACGTCTACTACAAGTCCGCAATTTCTAAATCATTTATTTTATGCTAATAATTTGTTCTTACTGGTTACAATTATAAGTTCACCCAATATGTCGAACTCATTTGCGCCTTTAGATCCGGTGTCGAATGGACCAAGTAGCAAAAAGAGGGTTGCATACTTCTACGACTCAGATGTCGGAAACTATGCCTATGTTGCAGGTCATCCTATGAAGCCTCATAGGATACGTCTGGCACATAGTTTGATCATGAACTATGGAGTTTACCAGAAGATGGAAATTTACGTGAGTTGTGCTTGAGCAAATCCCTCACTGGGGTCGCTATGTTATCTTCACCTCCTCTGCGAGTGCAAGTATAAGAACTATTCAGGTCAATTGCTAACTGTGCTTCGTAGCGAGCGAAACCAGCAACCCGACACGAAATGACTCAATTCCATACCGATGAATACATTGACTTTCTTCAGAAAGTTACCCCCGATAACATGGACACCTTCTCAAAGGAACAGGGAAAATACAACGTCGGAGATGATTGTCCGGTATTTGATGGATTGTTCGAATTCTGCGGAATCAGTGCTGGAGGTAGTATGGAGGGTGCAGCCCGCCTAAATCGTGGAAAATGCGATATTGCAATTAATTGGGCTGGAGGACTACATCATGCAAAGAAAAGTGAAGCAAGCGGCTTCTGTTATGTCAATGGTAGGGATTATCTTCCCCGTATTCATATACCCATATTGATTTGGTCTCAGACATTGTTCTCGGCATAATCGAGCTCTTGCGCTTCAAAAAGCGAGTCCTCTACATTGATATCGATGTCCATCACGGTGATGGTGTCGAGGAAGCTTTCTATACGACTGATAGAGTGATGACAGTTTCGTTCCACAAGTATGGCGAATATTTTCCAGGAACTGGTGAACTACGAGATATTGGTGTTGGACCAGGCAAAAATTACGCAGTCAATTTCCCACTTCGTGACGGTATCGACGATGTTACGTATAAATCCATCTTCGAACCTGTTATTCAGAGTGTTATGGATTATTATCAGCCAGAAGCTATCGTTCTTCAATGTGGTGGAGACAGTCTCTCCGGTGATCGCCTGGGATGTTTCAATCTGAGCATGAGAGGTCACGCAAATTGTGTTCAGTTTGTCAAAAGCTTCAACAAGCCCACTTTAGTGCTTGGAGGAGGTGGGTATACCATGCGTAATGTCGCGCGAACTTGGGCATTCGAGACTGGTGTATTAGTTGGCAAGGAAATGGACCCTGTACTCCCTTACAATGAGTACTACGAGGTATGCTTCCTGGTAAAGCTTTGTAAAGGTATTCTAACATTGACATGTAGTATTACGGCCCTGATTATGAACTTGATGTTCGAGCCTCTAACATGGAGAATGCCAACTCAAAAGATTATCTGGAGAAGATAAAAATCCAAGTCATCGAAAATCTGAAGAGAACTGCTCATGCCCCGTCTGTACAGATGCAGGATGTTCCCCGTACTACTTTAGCTGGGACAACCGATGAGGATGAGGATATCATGGCTGATGCTGATGACGACGAAAACATGGATGTTCGTCATACTGAGCACCGAAACGATAAGCATGTAGCCCGGGACGATGAGTTTGATGAAGGTGATGAAGAGGAAGCAAACCTTGCAAATGGAGCTTTTGCTCAGAACGGCCAAGCAAAGCAGCGCAATCACACCTACTCGGATGTCGAAATGGACAGTGGTGTAGCGACTCCTGAAGCTGAAGTTCACAATGAGATCGAAGATGCACCAACAGCGGTCACCGAAGCGAATGCGCAAGTAAATGCAGAGCTCATGGAGCAGAAGACTCAAGACGCAACCCCTACCGAAACCCTTGAAGTCGGTCCATCGAATGCTCCATCTCGCTCAGACTCGCCTAAACCAATTGTTGATGACGAAGGTGATGTTGATATGGCTGAGCCGCCCGAGGCCGCGACCGTAGTATGGGACTTGAAGCCATCTGAAAAATTATCAGCGTCTCCAACAGCCTCGGTCAAAGACAATATTATTGCCAACGTTGAGGCAGCCGCCAGTAACGCTGAAATCATGCCCGAGACGGCCGCTCTGCAAGCAGAGCCTGTGGTGAAGCAAGAAGGCGAGAGTGGACGACAAGATACCGATGTGATCGCAGAGGCAAGTGAGGAGATTACCGAGCAAGTTCAGTCATGACCAAGTCAAAAGGATATTAATATTGTCCCAATAACGACTTATTTTCTTCGATCATGGAGTTCCATTGGATTTTACTGTTTCAGGTTGTCGTATTTACTTCTAGTTTGGCTACATACTTTTCCGGCTCGGGGAAAAGCTTTTCCATCGGAACATACACTTATTTAAGAATGATCGCCGGTCCACCGTTTATCATATACAAAATAGACATGCCTGGCGACTCTTCGCCTCAAAGAACTTCATTCTGTACGATGTCCCTGAGGGCTGTACAGACCTCGACGCGCTTCATCTTTAGCGATTGATTCCGGATCTTCGTTTAATTTCCTTTTCTACCTCTTTACTCATATCTCGGAGGAATGGTAAACTGAGCATGGCTTACATGGATGGCGTACATGGCGAACGAGATACGGAATATGATAGGGGCGTAAAACTCCAGGGCACTATGAGACTTTATGCAGAGGATTGCAGCTCACGCTGTCTCAACCTTTTGGACCCAATTGCCTCTACGTCAGGGATATACCAATACTTTGGTGTTTACAGGATTAAAAGATAATAGCAAAATGTTTGACTGTAATTCCAGAACCGTGCATATTCATTCGAGAGTGATGATGAAAATTGAAGTGAAGGGAGACAGTTTGTAAAAGTTGGCGATGTAAAAGAATCTGGATTGTACAAGAACACCAGGGGAAATCAAACTACCCCCTCACAACTCTTCGGGAATCTTTCTTGAAGTAATTTAAAGTGGGTCTATAATATTTTCGCTTATTTCAGATTAGGGTTTCCCCGAATTTTGCAAATGGATTTTTCGTAATTCAACCTCCAACTAATACCGACCGACGACAACCTCTAATCCGACAAATTACATTTTCGACCCTTTCAGCATAACGAAAGAAATACCGTCGAGATGGCAAAGATTTCGTAAGTCTGATTTTCTCAGTCATTACGGATGGTGGGGTCGATTGAGCGAAGAAATGCGCTGTGACTTCAACCAGAGGAGAAATAAATGGAGGACAATAAATTGGGAAAATTGAAGCATGATTTCAGGATGAAATTGGATCATGGAGGCTATATGACAGGACATGGAAAGTCGACAGGACTGAAAGCTAATGTGATGGTGTTACAGACGTGGTGCCCCTGGTGGCAAGCTTAAGATGACTCTCGGTCTCCCAGTGTACGTTCTCACTTTAATTTCCACATCCCCGCGGTCTGCGAAATCGAAACTACGACTGCGATATTACATTTCAATCTGCGAACCAACCCTTATTCGAACGCGATGAAGCTCAGAATACTAACTCGAACAATAGCGGAGCCGTCATGAATTGCTGCGACAACTCCGGTGCCCGTAACTTGTACATCATTTCCGTCAAGGGTATCGGTGCCCGTCTCAATCGTCTTCCAGCCGGTGGTGTTGGTGATATGGTTATGGCAACTGTCAAGAAGGGAAAGCCAGAATTAAGAAAAAAGGTTATGCCAGCGGTCATCGTTAGACAGTCAAAGCCATGGAAGAGAACCGATGGTGTTTTCTTGTACTTCGAGGATAACGCCGGTGTTGTGAGTGCAGACTTTTCTATTCTATATTTGGGCTGGGTGGCGGATGGTATGCAAGTCATGCGGATATCGAAGGATATGAAGAGGAGGATGGAGGCTGGAGGAGAAATTTAAGCTTTCGGCTAGGATTGTGGAACAAATGCTGATGAATTTTCCCACAGATTGTCAACCCCAAGGGAGAGATGAAGGGATCCGCCATCACTGGACCAGTCGGAAAGGAAGCTGCTGAATTATGGCCAGTAAGTTCCCACGTTCCAGCGCTCCACACGTGAAAGTCGGAAACTAATTTTATCCACTCAGCGTATTGCCAGCAACTCTGGTGTCGTCATGTAAAGAGGCTGTTCTTTTTTCGGGGTTCTTAACGTCAAATGGAAGGAGGTCATGGATGAAGGGAAGGGCGTTGCATCATTGCTTGTCAGGCCTACTTCACTTACATACATAAAGACTTGCCGGTCGATTATGAAAATTTGATTCAAATTCCTACCTCTACTGCGAGATTCTGGACGATCTTGTGATTTGCTTATACTTGTGGTGGGATTGGAAGAAGAAAACAGGGTGGAATGTGATACCAGGTCCAGATGCGAACAGAGTTGGACGAACCTCCAGGACGAGGCTCGAGATGCGAAAGTGTGAAGACCGAGCAAGTGCCTAATCATTTTAAGAAGCCAGTGGAGCAGCCGACAACAATGCAGCTTCCAGATTTTACGACTTCAAGATTGAAGACTTATCCTTGGCACGGTTAGGAAAGATCAACATAGTCTCGTCCAATTTGCCAAACAACTCGATCAGTAGCCTCTTTTAAGACTACACATCTATCTGCTCTATTGGATTGGTCTAGGTTTTCAAACGCCAAGGGACGCACCCCTATACCGAGGTCAATGTTAATGCTCTATGTCAGTCAGGTACAGTATGCATTGTCCGACACCGCGCTGTAGAAATACAGTCAAACCTGCCACGTCTTACATATATATCTCAAAACCCCTACACTCCGTGCTATGTCCATCGGCTCAATGCAGTTCTTCCTACTGCGCAAAACCAAAACAGAAAACGCTGGATATGCAGATAATACAGTAATACACATACAAGTCACAATCCATCATCCTTCCTCTGAATACTCCCTATGCCCAAGCCCCTACCATCGCCATTAAACAACCCCCACCCAAAACTGCCACAAACGCCTCCCATCTTCTCCTTCCCTTGAGAATCCCGTAACTTTTATCACTCAGAAAGTCCTCGGCCAATAATTGTACAAGCCCCGCAAATAACAATAACCCACTACTAATAGCATTCATAAACCCCACCATCAGAAGCCCAGCCGCCGAATGCGGATCATACAAATTATGCACAATGAGACCAATAGCCTGACCAATGGGCGTCGTAGTCCCATATGCGAGAACCATGAGCCAGGGCCGAGGAGAAGAGGAGGGGAAATTTATAGCGGCGATGCGGGATCCGAGGGCGAGTCCTTCGAAGGATTGATGGAAGGCGATGGCGACTAGAAAGACGATGAAGGGGGGCCCGGTGGCGACGGATATGGCCATACCGATGAAGATGGAGTGGAAGAGGATACCGGCTTCCAAGAGGAGACATTGCAGGATTTGGCGTCTTTGCGAGTCTTCTGCTGAGATTGGGGAGCAGGTACTAGTTTCGGGATCGTTTGGAGAACGGGTGGGGACGTTTGTGAGAGGATCATCCAGTTCGTCGAGTTCGACATCCAGATCCGAATCGTCGTCGGAGATGTTATTGTCTTGATATTTCTTGCGTTCGGAGCTATCGTTGAGTCTCGTTTGGGGTGTTGATACGGGAAGGGGCGAGACTCCTGCTACAAGACCTTCGGATTCCCCCATGTCTTTTAATGCTATATCTTGTGGTCGACGATTCAAGCCCATTTTCCCCAATCTACCATTCGTTTGCTTTCCCTTCTTCTTGGCGCTCCCGTTCCCTAGCGCCCCTTCATTCTCTCCGCTAGGCACAGCATCCCAATTTCCTCCATGTGCATGTGAGTGGCCTGCCCCTCTAGCCGTTAAAAACATCTCTAGCCCCACAACGACCAGCGCACTGAACATCGCAATCAGTCCTGCGAGAGGATGATAGCCATGGCTGAAAAAATATGGTAAACATGGATCCGTCAAGGACATGAAAGCTGTGGGTAATAAATGTACGAATGCTGTAGCTATAAGGACTCCGGTGCCGAAATGTTGAGACAAAAATATAAAGCGATTCGGCTGGTCGGATTTCGAGGAACGCTGCGATATCAGGGGAAATCCGCATGCTGTCGAGGGGGACACTATTAGATATGAAAATATATGAAAGGGAAGGAGGCATGCATACCGATGGTACTCAGGACGAGTATTAGCACAAGCGCATATACATGCGCAGACGTATTATAATTCCCCTTGACCCCAGATCCACAAACCGGTTTCTCGGGGATCGTTCCAGCTTCATCTTGTTGTTGTCGTCGTGCTAATTCGGCCAAGAGATGGGACATAGACCAAGACGAGACTTGTGTGTTTATTAGTTTCATTTCGCAATTGTAAAAAGGGTGAGAATGGGAGAACTACCATCACGGTTCACAACCATCTTGAGGGTTTTAATGTTATAATATCGATATACTGAGTAGTCCGTAAAATCATGTTGTATGGAAAATATAAAGGGTAGGAGTTGCTTTCTTGTTGAAGGTACTCGGTTTTTGGTTTGGACGGAGTGAATGATGTTCCGGACGGCTAGGGAGCGTTTTGTTTAGGCAGGGGTAAAGAACAAGATCTTCGGCGTGGTTTCATCGAGATGTTTTTGTTTGAAAGTATTATCAACGATTCGAGTGGATTGATTGATTAATAGCAATAGGTGATCTATGGACTTTTGCCATGATGTTGCATATGGCGATATATAGCTGGATGGTTGCAATTGCAATGCTGTCCTGGGAATATGAGTTTGTGCCGTGAAGTGGGGGGGAGGACAACTGCATCTGATAGATGAAAGCCTGCTCTATATGATACCTATCTATTCATTTCCATACCGCTGCTAGAAGGAAACTCTATTCTCTCAGCAAATCACCAAGCTGCTTCTCCCATTTGAAGCCAAGGCGCAGAAAGCTGCTATAGGAGCGGTTAAGACAGGAACACTTATCAGCTTCATTACCTGAAGAGCCTCGAATGCTTCATTTACAGGAAGCACTTTGACAGGCCTTCGGCTTGTGTACATTTGCAGCTGGCACTAAGATTATGGTGCCTCCCTCCTGTGTCGACAAGTGGAGATGGGATGCGAGAGGCAGCAGAAATGTAGTTTGATCTCACAATATATTCATGCCCCGCTTCTCACCTTTGAATTATCAGCGGGGTCTATAGTATCCGTCCGAATTCAGAGATGGAGCTTGTTTATATTCACTTCGGTTCTAAAAGCTTGCCTTACTTCCTCGCTGTCGACTTCCCTTCCACCGACTACTTCTACTTCCTTACAAACTTCTTCCCACCGATATCCTTCTCCACGTCAAGAGTATCCTACTTGGCAGACAACAACAAGTAATTCAATCAAGACAATTCAATTACATTTATTGCTCCTAAGCTTGCATGGCAAATTCAAGCAATAGCTAGGTGTTTGGAGCTCAGCGCCTCAAGACTTCGGGATTTAAGTTCGAATGTCAGCCACTTCAGCAGTTCGATCTAGATTTCGACGATCTCACTGTTCTCTTGCAACTGGCGAAGGCTTTACTGATCAACTTACTCTTCTTTATTATCTTTATTCCTACCCATTTTTTACAATATCAGTCGCTCGAAGGCGAGACTCATAATACGCAAGCTTATCTCAAATATTGCAAACAGCACTTCCAAAAGTTCAAAATTCTGCGGGCGACCGTTTCTCTGCTTAAGACCAGCAGACCTATTATTATTCCTCAACATACGAAATCTCAGACTCAATTTTTTTACTTATCTCATCATTCTGCGACACTGTTTCCTATCTTGCGAACGTAGTATGAAAATTGAAATTTCTACTCCTCTACTAAAATAGAAGTGGGTTATGGGAAATTCCAAGTTGGCCGAAAGTACCAACTTCATTGCCTGAGACTTGAGATTCTATCTCGGAATCGAAAGGCATATCTTGGAAAATGGCTGACGTGCATGACGATGTTATGGGGAATGCAATCTCAATGGAGCGCAGTGAAGACGCCGGTGTTCCTGAGTATGCGTCCACCCTAAGTGATTCCGATATCGAAGGTAAGACATGAGCTTTTTCGGCTTTGCTAAATCGGAGCTGATTGTGTATACAGATACCACAGAAATTGATGCTTTCCCTGACGTAATCACGTTAGACGTGGACGTAGATATAGCTGCATGGGACGAAGATGTAGACGTATCAGATGAGGGTTTGGATGCGTTAGATGGCGATGTAGTAGACGACGATACAGATGCGTCAGACGGAGACGAAGACGTCCTTGCCGAAGGTCAGGTCTTTGTTGATAATGCTTTGGTCACCCAAGCTAACTGAACATACAGGTGTAAACAACATCGATCACAGTGATGTTCCTAGTGGTGCCAACAGTGACTCGAACGGCGAGAGTGAGTTGGAAACACATTTTAGTCCTACTCAAAGCCAACAGCCTGATCATGGTGGTTCAACCAACATTGCGACTTCTGGTGCAAATGAGGATGATCCGCTCCCCCACGAGAGAGCTTACATGCGGAAGCAAAAATTCAACCAACTGGCTCGGGATCTTGTGGAAGAGATTATGGAGCTTGAGCCATCCCCAAGACTGAAAAGGATTCTTTACATGATCCTTCAGCTTCGACTCAAACATCAAAGGTCTAACCGAAATCGAATTAACCCAAAGGACCGGGCTGCATATCCATCCGACTTCAGAGATGTGGAAAGAATGCTCCGCACTGCTCCACCTCCAGATGAGCACCTCTGGACGACCGATAAAAGGGAGGCCAAGTATGTTGACAGCTCTCACCGCAAAAGGCGCAAGCTTAATACATCGCCAACTCTAGTCGACGGCGAGAAAGTAGATCGTGAGCCATTAAGAAAATATGACCATAACGGCAGGTCTTGGCGCAAAAATGACAAGCCTAGATTGTCTCCAGAGTCTCTTCCACAACCGGCAATTATGGAACATCATGTAAAAACCAAGGTATCAGAAGAGGATTTTCGTAGATGGGCCGGCGGACCACGCACAGATATACCAGATATCCTTTATAGAGCGTGGGATGAATATAGCTTGTGCCAAATTCATGACCCACGCGTTGGCTTTCTGTCTGGCTGTTCTGAATGTCACCTCGGCACATCTGAGAGTCGCTGCTGTGAACTTTCGACCCACGCGGATTGGGGATCTCGTCATCGCGGACCATTTATTTCATTCACATCATGCTGGCAAGAGATTTGGGATCATCGTGTATACGCTCTGGAGAAACGGCAAAAGAAACATAAAGGTAAGCTTGTGAATATCAAAATCACCATTGTGAATGCGCGCGCTAGATGTGCTGCTCGAATGCCCATCCTCAGGATGAAACATGAGCTTAATCATTACAATGTGAAGACCCCGTATGGAAATATTCGAAACACTAAGAATTCATTCTTTGAAAACGAATACCTATTGCCGTTTGTTATTTCTCCTAGCGAGATTATTCTAACTATCCCCTGGCACGAAATTCAGGATTGGGCGGAAAAGAATGGTCGGACGGTCAACGATTGGGGCAAAGAAGTTGGAGCAACCCTTTTTGAGAAACACGAGCAAGACAGGTTGGCAGGAACGACCAGCTCTCAACAGGCTTGTAAATGCTGTGGCCATGGGAGTGGCTGCTCTTGTTGTGGACACAATCCCCCCGCCTCGAGTCCAGAGACTTCAGGAGTTCGTTCGGAACAAGTACATATGAGCGATGATACTTGTGCTGAAAATACACCTTCCACGGAAACAGAGCGACGCCGGGTCTTTCACGAGCATTCTTCTACTACACCCACATAGCTTAGCGTCTTTTCTTACATCGAAGTATTCTCATCATTATGCATCGGCGATCGGTAATATCAACACTGTTTCCTGTGCCTGCACCGGCGAAGTGGTCAATCGAATCTGGGACTAGACATATCATTAAGTGGGGTTAATCTGGGGACATCATATCTTTTGAGCTTTTCACGAGCATCCTCATCTGTGATTTTATTGCATTATTTAAAAGTGGATACCAATACCAAAAGGGCAGATGATAATCACCTATGGACTACGTTCTTGTGCCAAATCATGTCCTCCACATCATCCTCGATTTTGTTTATGCTCTAGGAGCAAATTTTCAGAGTCGTAAATTAGACGCAAGGATCAAGTGATCAATAATCTGAGCTGTCCAAACAAAAATTTCACTCGCTTCAAAATATGGTTATCTAACGTCCTGTCCAGGAGCTTGTCGTTAGAAACATGTCAGCAGTCCAGGCGATGATAAAGCGATTATTTAGACATGAAGAGATTGTACGATGGATGTAGATTGCAACCAACGTGGCCGTTCTTCTCTTTCCCTTTCATTTCTTCTAACATCGATAATCATGGCCATTGAAAAACACTGATGTGACTTCATGGATTTCATGCTACTCCTGCTGGCTTTGTTGATGCTGATGTTCACATTTGTTGCGGAAGTGCTTGACAAATAAAACCGTGCTTCCTTCCAATTCTCCATCACAATGTACAAAATTCATGAGATTCATTAGTTTATCACGGAATTTTTCAATGCTACATTAACATTGGCATCACCTCGGAACAATTTTCACTCTTCTATTGATATCTACCCCAGAAATGTCAGCCAGAAATATTCTTACGTCAACTTGAAACTTACGTCCTCCCATTTGGCGTGTGGCTACAACTCAGAAATGTATATAGCCACATCCCCGGATCGCAGGAATATACGAATATCTCTTCAAACTAGTAGTCTGTTGCGGACTTCATGTTTAACCATTTATTTGTTGTCTATCAATGTTTCTTCAATCCCCGGATTTGATGATTTCACTCGGGCTCGATCATAGGGTCAAACATCCATTGATCCTTCTCCTTCATTACCCAGTCATGCAGCCGGATGTAGGTAACGAAGTGGATTCTGAATTCCATTGCGTAATATTTCGTGCATGTATACAAGTAATGTCGTATGGTGGTCTCGATAAAAGTCGTTCGGTAAGCATTTTCCGGCGGCCAATTTCAGCTCAGAGAATCATGACTCGTGAGTAAAAACACGTGAAGACAGCTAATTGCTGAGAATTTGCAATGTTATTTTCATACTAGGAAGGAGCGAGTTGCGGCTGTGTAATCCTCGGTATTGATACCATGGTATCGAGAGATTCTTTGATGTGCTTTAATGGGTTAGCGCCTCTTTGTTTCGAGATTCTAGCATAACACTCGTTCTTTCATCCACGTCTTTCATCTACGTCTTTCAACCTTTCAACCTTTCATATTGGCGATTGGAATTTCCCGAGTCTTCGAAAAACCTTCGAGAAGCCTTCGAGAACAATTGGTATCGCTACAAATAGCAACTTTTAAATAGATTGAGACAAAAGATTTCTTCATGTTATTGAACATCGGAAAGCTTCTATATCATGATCAAAGGATGATTGTTCGGGGGTTCGGCTCCAGATGCTTTTTGAAACGTGTCTGATTTACTGTACCCGAGTAAATCCTTCTCATGTTCTGATCGATTTCATTCCATGGTGTACGTTCTATGGGCGCCAAGATGAGGCATTTCACGTAGTGTGTCCTATAGTGTGAACCAGTACATGCACCGGTTGCTTGAATAGTTATAGGTTCACCCATAATGAAAGATCATTATACGTGTTCAATTTGAAGAAATTCTAAGCTATGCTACCAGTTGAACTAATTGCCCTGGTAGTGGAAACTATACCTGATAAGTAAGGAAGCTAAACCCATTTCGGATAGCCCACCTCGATTCCTTGAATCTAAAAGGCTCTGTTTACTCTGCCGGCCGTACAAATGGAAATTTTTGAAGTTTGGAGCCGTGGAACCATACCACTAAACGATACCTGATTCTACGTAATAATTTTCAACAAACTTCGCATCTCCTCATTTGACTCGGGGATCCCATATCATCAGTACACTAACGGTGTTAGACTTTTCACGCTATACTCATTTGGAATGAAAGACTCTTGCACTATACTGGCTAAGTTCAGAATGAGGGCAAACTATACCAACGTTTTTCAAAATGTACTACTTCCACTGGTCTACTAGTGCCCACAAAGATTTCTCGAAGGACTATAAATATGTCAAAAGGACGTTTCTTTTTACTCATCGTTCAAGCACTTTACTCCTCTATCCAGCTTACCACACTCACGTCTTTTATCTAAGAGTCTCTTCTCACAGCAATCTTTTTAGACTTTTCAAGAGCCATTTTTTTTATAGAAATCTTTCAAATATGTTCTACAGAGCTTTTGTCACCGCCCTTGCTATGGCATCGGTCTCCATCGCGGCTCCAACTCCTGTTGCTGTTGCTGAGGCCGCCCCTGAGAACTTCGTCTCGCGAGCTGCCGCATACACGTTGTTCACTGGAGATGGATCCAATTGGCCTTCCAGTTCTGCTTGGACTGATTTCGATACCATGTACACTCTCCCTTGCCCTCTGAAACCTAATTACTAAATACTAACCTCAATCTCCAGGTGGGCCGACAATCAAGCCGTCATGACCACATCGTGCAACCAATTCGGCCAAGCCAACAACTCCCCCACCGAAATCGCGGACATCCACAACGCCATCATCAACACCGCCGGCGCATCCGGAGTAGATGCGCGCTTGATCCTCGCAGTCGTCATGCAAGAATCGGGAGGCTGCGTCCGCGTTCCGACCTCCTTCGGAGGCGTCATAAACCCGGGTCTCATGCAAGACCATAACGGCCCCAACAGTTGCAACAGTCATGGCTGGGTTCAAAACCCTTGTCCGGCAGTCATCATCACCGGTATGATTGAGGATGGTACAATGGGCACGGCGTCGGGTGATGGACTGCGTCAGTGTATCTGGCAGAGTGGGGAGGGTGATGCTAGGGCGGCGTATGTCGCGTCTAGAATTTATAACACGGGGAGTTATATGCGGGGAACGGATCTTGGCGCGCCACAATGGGGCACTGGCTGTTATGCGAGTGATATCGCAAACAGACTTTTGGGGTGGGCGGCACCTGCTACTCCGTGCACTCTAGGGAAACCTTGGCACTAAGGGTGAGGTGTGGCTTTTTATGGGACTTGGGTGGGGGGACGGCGTATGCATTGGACTGCATTCGGATAGATTTATTGGGAATATCTTGCATTTTCTTACTTGTTACTGTATATACTGCAATATCATAGATAGATTGTGTTAAATAGAATACACTGTACATGATTTGGTATAGTCACAAAAACAATAGAAAATTCTGTACAAAGAAGTTGTCTATATTTGCTTTCTTAAGATCACCATTATTAATCTTCTTTGTTTGATCCTATTTTTGTAACATGTACTATATTTATTCGATATGCAAAGACGAGAACGGTGTGGACTTGATATATGATATGTATGCATGGCTTGTGAATTAATGTAATGTACTCCAAGCATTCGTCTCGTCTGATGTTTCTTTTCTTTTCTCATCCTCAACATCATCTCTATCTTATCAATATCTTTTCAAATCCCATCCCATATTTACAATCAACTAAATATTTAAGTGACCATATCTGCAGTAGAGACTGGGGTGTCAAAAGAATATACAACGAAAGAATTAATCTGTACCTGATCCCCGAAAATCTTTCACAGTGTATCTCGAACGCTTCATGTAGCTAGCAAAAATCGATTGATTTCACTCACGCTCCAAGCTCCACATAATTACACACTCAAATCCATTTGCTGCTGTTCTTTCACTACAGCACAGAAATATTATAGTAATATTCAAGTCAAGATTCATGAGTCAAGAGAGAAAAGGGAAACAAACACATCGATATAACTTATAAGAATGAATACTCCTATTCTTCACATCCCTCGTTGAGTGTCTAACATGAACCCACAAACTCCTCACCCGCTCCTTACTCCACTCCAACCCTGCCTGCCATCAAAATTCCTCATCGTCATCATCCATCCCTTTCCCATCTCATCCCACAAATTCCACTGCATCCATCGCGTCAACACATTTTCTATTCCTTCTCCCCCTTAACCCACGGACTAATAAGACGACATTTCATGTCATGACTTACCCAACCTTTCTTGCTTCGCATCATCAATATACTCTGAACACCTGTCAGCTACCGAACCGCTGAGATCATCGTGTAGTCAGTCTGTTTTGACTCACTTCCCGACTAATCCGCATAATATGTCCGGCCATTTTCCTCGAAATCTCTGTAAATACTTTCTCGGAGAAACAGTAGATATTCTGTATCAATATCAACTTCTTATCGGAGCGTCATTTCATGATGAATGAACAGTCCCATCCCACTCACTGAATGAATCTTCTATAGTAGTATCCGTATTACTATTACTTGCAGACTAATAATTGCTCAGTCCTCACGTCGTACATATTGAAATATTGCTACTCACTTGTGAAACTAACCTAGAACTCCATCTCCATCTCCAGTTCAGGTGCATCAGTCATTTCTGCCTCGATTGCTGACATGCCATCTCTTGGATAATCAATGATATGGAAATACCATTAGTTACATGTTGATTGGAACGTGCATCACTAGATGAACTTTGCCCTTATTCAATGTGAATTTGTTGATGGGTACCGCATCTGCAGCTTCGTTCGGCCTTGGTATCGGTATATTCTCACGTGTAGGATTCGATATTCGATATCATATTTAATAGTCCACCTTCAATCGTTCATCGATTGAGATTGTTAACCAGGATCCATGCCGGTATTTCCGTTTGACCCCTCCATGTTTCTCAGCGGGTATTGTACGTTGTCGTATCGTATTATCAGATCATCTCCGCCAAAGCGACTCCGTATGCAGGTGATTGTCTGCCTTAATAACCGGTGCAATGCTACCGAGAATGCCCCCTAAATCAAATCAAACCAGCTTACCAAAAACGATTGATTGATTAGCTTGAGCGTCAGCCGTGAGTGCCAGTCTTTCTTTCAAAGAAATTAACAGCTGTTAGAGTGATTCGATGTGAGCAAAGCGTAGGATCCCATTCTGTTTCCGGGCTAGGCTACAGTAATCCTTGCTTATAGTCAGATACTGTATCCCTTACTACACGGTCTCGCATGCTCACTTCATCATCAGTCCCTGAAATGCGAGTGAATGAAACGAATTTCTGATCTCTGTGTTATCAGATGAGTAGATACGAGTAGATGTGCAATAGGTTGGCATTTGATCTCATAACGTTCAAAGGGCTCAGTCCAAATTCCGAAATCCAAAATCCCAAAATCCAGAAACACAAAGCAGAATCAATATTTTCAGAATGCGGATAATCTGATAAAGAGAGTAATTCATCAGGTGTGCTTAAACCGTTTAAACGGCCTCTACAATCATCACATGACTTTTCTATCCATTCTCGGTCATTTTCACTAATCAAACTCCCTACCGAGCTCCTTTCACACCCTGTCAATATCTACTCGAGTACTCTGTCGATGATCAATAATTGCTTCAGGTTTGTCTTCCAAATAGTTTTGGTTTACGTATGTTGTGTTAGAGCAAATTCAAAGACTCAAAGTACTACAGTATTGTGCCAAGTATCCAAAACATTACAATACAATGTTCGAGTCCATATTGCACATTCGCAAGCCTACAATGGATATTGGACGAAAATATCGGATCAAGAAAAAGGCGTAGTGAATCTACAGAAACGTGGTAATTGAACATCTACAAAGATAGAATATACTCGAGTATACAAGTAAAATCCCAAGATTTCGAGGTACGAACTCCCGTCCCGGGGTGATTTTCAGACACAGAATTTTAATTGCCAGAAAAAATAGTACTAGCGTTTTGCTCTTCAGAAAACGATTCCTTTTGCACAATCTGGTAGACCGGCATTAGGTAAGAGTCAAAGTCATAGATCCAACTATCAATAGAAGCTTGATCCTATTCGCATGCCATGGTAGTTCCATTGTTAGACCACAAAGGTCTTAGTGGCCACGCGCAAATTTGCTGGTTCTATCCCTCATTTTCGCCTCGGAGAAGGGTGGCATGAAGAGTGGTGGACGTGTTACCGTTCTCGTCCCAGTCGATTAAGACAGCGAGGTTGGTTTAAAGGAAGGGTCCATTTGGTGGTAATCATTAGTAGTGCAATGGGCGGCTCCGGGCATAAAGCCGGTAAGAACGGCGGCAGCAGCCGTATAGTAATTTGAATATGTCTGACCGGTTGTGGAGTTAAGATCGAAGTTTAGCTTGCATAAGTCTTTACGTGCAACGACACCATCTGTCTTGCCATTCATGGGATCACATACTGTTTACCGAACAAGCTCAAATCATGACGGGCTTTATTGCCGAACACAAACAAAGATTCGTAGTCGGCAGTGCCGTTGACGATGGGAAATGTAGCATAAAAATCAGTATCAAAGCCTCCGTCTCTGATACCAGCACGAAACCATTGATAACACCACCAATTAGCGAATCCTCTGCCGAATTTATCGCATAGCCACCGTTTCCACTAGACAAATTGCGATTTTTCAAGTCCGTTGGGGTGGGTAAGATTATCTTATGTACATGTACCGAATTATCTCGTCTGGTGTGCGTATAATTGAAAGTACGTTGCAATAACTAATTGTTGCGTTTGGGTAGAAGACATTGCGATATGTGAAAGAATTGGCGACTGCGTTTGCTGTGACGGATGCCGAGTTGAGACTTACGGCAAAGCCGCTTGCCTTTTTGGACACATCATCGTTGTGATGGATGGTCATTGGGCTGATGACACTTTTCTACATTTGATACAAAGCTTGCTTGCTTGCAATGTCGACTAGGTTTTAATCGAGGCTGTCAATTAGTTAGCTCGTCCATTCTTGGGCCCTTGGCTTTCCAGTTTTTATTTTAGGTACCGTACCAGTATAGACGTAGTACACCCCCTATGATATCCGAAATCTGAAATGCTCGTCAGTCATGGATAAATGCCTTGATATCCTAACTTCCTAAGGCATTTTTGAGGTTTAAATACATGATAATCAAGGATCTGATCCTTACTTTTCTAGAATGGACTTCAAAACAACAAATGAAGACTGAAATTAAGTCCTTCGATGCATATTTCGATGTTTGGTGGCTGAACTTGTACACCTGCACCTACACCTGCACCACTGCTAGGAATCTAGGGTGTATCAATCTATTTTCCTGTATGCGTGATGAATGATTGGTGATATACATTGCACTCGTAGTTCTACCAACTATCCTGAAAGCAGAGAGAGAGAGAGAAGCATAAAAACATATATGTCAGCTATACTCGTAGCTCAAAAAGTGCATTTCGGATTTCAATTTTTGTACTCGGAATCTCTATCCACAAGTGAAGAGCTATCTATGTAGAAGGGCTTAAACAGCTGATTATATACCGGTATAAGTTTAGATCTAGGCACTAGGCACTAGCCTTATATGAAAAAAAGAAGGGCATCATACGATACTCTGATTGATATGAACCCGAAGGACCGAAGGTTTGAAGGCCTAGACAAGAATAAGTAGGTGAAAGAAAGCGTAATTATATTATCTAGATTCATATGAGTGATAACTTAAGCCAGTGGATGGAGTACAGTAGAGCCATCTCGTCCATCACATCACATCAACAATGAATTGAATAGCTATGTAAGACCCATACATAGCACTTTTACCATGAATTGGTGATCCGGGGTTTAGATGGAAATTAGGATTAGATGAAATTTCGGCCACAACTTTTGATGGAATTTTCGGAAGTCTTGGGGGTGTTGATGAGATGAGATGAGATGGGAGATGGGATGAAAAGCTTAATATATAACCTTATATAAGTCGCATAAAACTCGAAAGACGATCTTAAATGAAAGTTCGGATGAAAGTTTAATCTTTTTTGGAGAAACGAGTTCAGATGAAATGGAATGAAATTAAATGGGAAATAATTGGATGATAATGACAATAGATACAATTTCATTTTTGGAAATACTGAAAAAGGATGGATATTAAGAGTAGGAAGAAGAATAAGTAAGAAGAAGAATCCTCGCTTGAGGTAAGGGGGATATTGAATATCACGAATGGTATTCTCACAATACGTCTTTATAGCTTGGAACTTTGTAGGAGCATTCCATCTGTACTGATCGAACGATGAGATTATACTTTTTGAATTTGGGCAGAATTAGTGAGAAATTGGAGAGATCACGATGTTCCATAAATATTTACTCGCGAATGTTGACCGGATGAGAGAAAGCATATGATGTGCAATGAAGTAGATAAGATATGAAAAGCGAGGTTTGAGTTTTGGTCTATAGAAATATAGATAGCTGGAGGATATGGAGGTATATGATAATGTTCCTATCCTATGTGTAATAAATAGTTAAGCTTTCTGTCTGAAATATTCCCTTGGTTGAAAATTGTGACATCGATGACACGAGAGTTTATCTATACAACATTTGAATATCAGCCCTACATCAAGTATACTCACTTCATATGTAATATCAAGTCATCATATCGGTTTTGTAGAAACAACATAACATCCTTTTATTCATACGCCACCTCCTCACATAACTACCAAGGCAACCCCATCCCTCTAATTAAACCCCAAGTAATTCGTAGTACACGTAACATCCAACGCCGTCTCATCAACATTGAGACAATAAGCCTCATCCGTACCATTTGGACTCAACACATTAATGCCACTCGCTACAATATTATTACAGACCGATGTGCTCGAACAAGCAAATGTACCGATTTCAGGCTGGTATTTCTTGCTAGTTTTCCCGGTGAAGTTCTTGAAGACGATGTCCTTGATGGTGAGAGGGGATGGGTATTCGAGACAGAGGGTTAGATTTTTTTGACCGTAGCATTGGTCGACTTCGATGGCGTAATCGACGTTGTCGATATACATTGTGTCGTAGGTGATGTTGCTTACCATGCCGTCTCCTCCGCCTCCTATAAATGTGTTAATTGTGGACTTTGGTTGGGGAAAGTAGGAGGGGGTGCTGACCTTGAAGATCGCCACTGGCAGCTGAGGCGGTGTTGGGCCAAACCTTGATGCGTGCGCCGTCGGTGGCGTTGTGCAATGAAGTGTTGTAGACGTATACGTTTTGGACAATATCATATTCTCCAACATATTGACCGAGGGATCCAACAGAGATTCCGTGGGAACCAGTGCAGATAAGATTTTGAACTAAGATGTTGGTGCTGTTTGGCTTGAAAGAAACACAATCTAAAATCTGGTAAGCAAGTTTTCCCAAGAACATATAAAGAGGTAATCACCATCTCCATTATTGATGACGGAGTTCTGTATCACAATGCTATCACTGCGGTAGGTATCCCATCCATCGGTGTTCTTCGCAAGATTTTTACTTGTGCTTCCACCAGCGATGTCGATATTGTTGAATACAACGTTGCTAGAATTTGCAATGAAATTGTAGTATTCTGGAGAATAACGCAGAACTAAATCGGTCAAGACTGAGTCTTTAAGCCCATCAATTCCGATAAGAACTGGTCTGAGTGTGTAAATGTCACTGGCGTAAAGGTCATACCAGACTTGGCCATTTCCATTAAGAGTACCACCTCCGTATATGAAAACATCTTCTCCTCCGAGCTTGAAGAATGAGGTGACGTTTTGGAAGACGAATGGGAAGGAATTGGCTTGCCAGTATGTCGTATTGTCCGAGAAGAGGATTTCGCCTTGGATGTCTGTAACATCATTAGCAAAAAGAATACATTGACTCTTCTGTGTCATAAGGTGACATACCAAGATCAATGTGCTTAAGGAAAGTCCAATCCATTGCTGTGCCAACCAAGTATGTGACACCTTTACTGAACACTACATGACCACCGTTATTGCACTCATGAAGCGCACTCAAGATGGCTGGAGAGTCATCAGTTCCATTGCCGACACTCTTGACATAGCAAATTTTGGTTCTTGCTGGTGGAGAAGGTGGAGGCGTGTGTGGGGTTTTGGGATGACATTGCACATTCGGTCTTGTTGATGTTTGCTTTGGATGGCCTCTACTAGCAAGTGCATGTTCCCATGACGCATCCTGCCATGTTGGACTTGCAACTGCAACTGCGGCAGATGCAATTGAAAGAACTGCGCTCAATTGGAAATGCATGTTGAACTATTGATCCGATATTTCAATTGCTAAAGTAGTTTGATAGAGAGCTTGGCAGTTTTCATAACTATGCTTGGGTCCGGCAGAACTTATATATTGTTTGTTTGCAGGTAGGGTAACCATGCACACCTCCACAACGTTGCCAGGGGAAGCAAAGGAGATTCTATTTCTCCGGACTTCTTCCCTTGGCTTTGGTTCGGTGACGACGACGGTGAGCTCTTACTCGGACCAAGAGCTTTTCATTTCATCCCATCTTTGAGAAGCTATGAAGATGAATACATCCCCAGATTATCAAAATCAACTGGGGGGATAGAAACCCCGCATCATTTTAGAACCCCATACATATAAAATTTACTAGAATTCATTGGTTCATTTAGTTTGTTCAGGAACAGGAAATCTTCATCCTTGCCCTCAATTCTCTATTTAAGTTTGACTATTGGTGGAACTCAAAAGCATAATCCGACCGGTGAGCATACCTACGCTTTGTGAAAGATCCATTACGGAGTGTTGCCAGCCGGACTCGGTAACAGGTCGTCTTCTCGTATTTAGGGTTTAGATGTTTAGATATGATCCGGTAGCTTCCGGATCAGAAAGTGGAGATTAAAAGGACATGGAGTTTCGGGGCTACTACCTAGCTACAGTAAAGGAAAAGAAACGTATCTAATCGCGTGATATCATGTGATGCACTACTCGAGTAGAAATCGTCTTCTTCCAACCTTTCAGATCTTAGCTTTTTCGGACCTCACATTGTTGCCTATCACAAGTTTGATGGCTTGGTGACAGACACATAACATTCGATAATATACTCTTGGTCTTACCGAAAGGAACGAGCGCCTCAATTTCTTGCAGGCAAGAAATCATGTTTCAGGGGTAGCGGAGGAGCCAAATCATTCAAGTGTTTGCTTTTGCAAAGTCTATAGTGCGGACCCCTCCTAATTGTCAAAATTTTAGTCCTGAAATTAGGAAATTATCTCTTATCCTTGCTGAGGATGGGCCAATTTATTATATGTGGATGCAGCGGGCGAACCGGACTTCACATCTCTGGTGTTTCCCTTCGTTACCACTTCGTATATCTTTTTCTACTTGGACCACACACCTTTTGATGGCAAGAAGCATTGATGCATTCCGTCCGAGTCGCTGAAGGATTCGACAATTCTATTACGTCACGTTGTGATAGAAAACTGCAAAGGGACAGCATTTTTAATAGAATCGAGGTGTTCGCTCATGGGGCCTTCCACCGACAAGATGAGGCAAACAAACATATATTAACGGTTCAGGCCTTGATGCATATAGAGCACACGGGAAGGGCTGCTAGGGACATAATTTCGCGGAAAGAATCCAAAAGCGCCGTTGTGGCTGCATCTCACCACTTCCTCATCGCTCAGCATATGGACTTGGTGTATTGTTTCTTTCCTCGAGACCTTATAAAATACCATTTCAAAGAAGATAATTTTTCCCAATAGCTCACGGAAAGGCATTCCTCCGGTTTCCCAATCGGTCTGTGTGCATGTTTACATGAGTGGCTTATTTTTTTTATCTGCAAAACACCGCCAAAAGTTTGGGACACTAGTTTGACCGACAAACGGCACTTAACTTGGTTTTGACTGCGTTTTGCGCGTTTGGCTTTTACGTACAACATCGTACTGGAGTGTAGTTGAGCTATTGTAGTTCATGAACCATCCGATCTTTGTAACAGATCTCGATCTGTAGTTCGTCCAGAGATTTACCTAGTGTGGACGACCAGTAGCCAGGGCACTGGAGTTATAGCACAGCGTGATGAACTTGCCTCACATGCCACGTTCATAGATTGGACCCTTCTGAGGGAAGACCCACAGTTCAAATGATCATATATCATGATGTACAGAGTATACATGTCATACCATAAAGAAGGATTTTCGACGACATTTTCAATGTTCTTCGATGGGAATGTGTGGTTACATCCACGGATAGAGACAAGGCCCCCATGAATGATTCTGAGAGACAGTGGAGTATGCATGGCCGCATCGTCTGAAGCTACTGGGCCAATATCGACTGGATGGTGGGTGCACCGCATACAATCTGACCAACAGCATTCTTCTCCGGGTATAGTGGGCTAAAATACATTGAAAGTATTATCAACACACACGGCACAGTCTGCGGGGGTGTATCGTTGGGAACTTGAGTAATCGAGAGAGAATCAAACTAATCCCGAGATATCCTCAACCCTTGGGTTGATCGCCGATGGAACCGCACCAATCAATACTACCCGCAGGGCTTAAGATCAATCATGTCTAGGCATTTAGCCGTGGAATAATAAATCGCTATCCGATTTCATGATTCAATTTCATGACATTGAAGAATACCAAGAGAGTGATTTATCACAATGAATCAATGATTGATAGCTTTAGGATATCCTTACATACAAACGCTCTCAAAGAAACTAGAGATCCTTGGAATCCTCCCTGACAAGCTATAGCAAATAGACAACGGAATCACATCACTGGATCCCAGTACAGACAATAAACCCCCAGCAATGCAATGTTTTGATAGCAAACGAAATGCACATCTAATCAATGTATCGAAGCAGATCTGCCACCCTTAAAATACACAACAAACACTCCAGCACACTTTGATTCAATAACCCCTTCGTGATTAGTATTGGTTGCTGCCACACATCGGATGAACTTGCATAAACTGTGAATTTTGGTTGTCCATAAAAATCGGGTCGTGGTCATCGGGAAGCACTCCTTGGCAATCTTCGAGGCTGTAGAGTTCGTACGCAGGATTGTAGTTTTCCTCTTTAATGACTGGACTGTAAGTTCCAGCTCTTTCTGGAACCGGTGTCAGAGGCGACCTTCGCGGAGATCTCGACACAGAAGTAACGTTCGAGGCATGAAACTGGCCACTTGAGTATCTTGCCGATTCGGATCTGGAAGATGTCGGAATCATTCGTCTTGAGATCGGATCGTCCCTCCCTCGTTGGCGTTGTAATTTGCCCTTGCTTACGGAGTGAAACGAAGGCTTCCGAATCGCAGTATAATTGTGCCGACTCGGATAGCTTTGACTTGTGTTGCTTTCTGCTTTGACGTATTTCTTGTTGCCTATCCCTTTGCGATATCTCGTTGTAGACTGCACTCCATCTCTGATGGCGAAGTCTTCTAGAACCCACTCAGTAGACTTTTTCGTCTCTTCTCCAGGGATCTTTCGTTCCGTTTTTTTGAATGCCTATTATCGAATATGTTAGCCCTAGTAAATCGTAAATCGTGCTTGGTCATAGAATCTTACAGCGTTCATTGAAAGATTGTGACGAATGCTGTTCATCCAACCTTTGGTGTCCGAACTCCCTTTGGTGGTGTTTTCCCGGAACCAACGGTAAATTTCCTGTAAAACCATGGAATGATCTGGCGCACTCATCAGTGCTCGATAGATCAACTTTGCATATGGCTGCTCATCCGCGCCGTGGCCATCAGCATCGATATCCATTGCCATAGGCTCTCGCGAGCTGTGTCCATCATCCTCGGAGCATAGGCTGGAGGGGGACGTGGAATCCAGTGACTTGTGTGTTGCGTCCATCATGATGCAATCGTTAAGTCTTCCCCCATACTCCGCCCTCGATGGCGCCATGAGTCCAAGATTGTCGCGGGCATCAAAAGGATATACCGGTAAAGTCACGGTCATGTTAGCATATGGCTGTTGCCAAGTAGTTCGAGGAGTGCTATCAAAAGCTTTGAGAGACTGTTCTTGTTCAAGGCCAGAGAGATTATCCGGACAATCGTAGGAGTAATCATTCCCACCGTCTCCAAAACCAGGATTTGGTGGCGCTTGATGCGTCCACGAATTTAGATTTTGAGAATTCGCCATTTGGGATGTATTGAGGTTGTAGCCATTGTTGGGCATGGGGGATGATGATGAACTAGCCATGAAGTACTGATCTTGACCGATTCGAGGCAGACCGTCAAATGATGGAAATATGTCAGCAGCTTGCGATTGTGCTGTTGTCCCAATATTCTCCGAAGCTTGAAAGTCCCATGGCAAGTCGTGATGTTGAGGATTCTGCTGAAAATGATCGGAATTCATGTTGAGGACCGTCTGAAAACAATTTACTCAAGCTCGCTGCCGATGATGTGTCTACTGAACGAAGTGCTACACTTAGGATGGATTGCTTTATTGTAAGACGATAGTGACTCTCTTCTCGGAGAATTCAAAGAATTGGGATAGCAAAGGACTTCGGGTGTAGTTATTCAAAAAAGAAATCTGGAACGCAAGAAGCAGTGGGAGCACTGGAAGCTTTGTGAATATGGGCATAGAGACCTGAAAAGACAAGGCCATAATGCAGGAGAGTGATGCCAGCACATGGATGCAAGCCTTTGACGTGTGGTGCAAACAGGCTCCCCGGACAGCAACATTCTAAAGAGAGTGTGAGCTCTACAATGACCTTTCTTGAATAGCAATCGCTTGCTGTCTACCGTAAATAGGTGGGCTGTAGGTCTGCATATCCATGTCATACAGAGGGAAACGGGCGACTGCATAACGCTAGAGATTGTGGCCAGGAGAGTCATTGTTTGGATTTAAACCTAGAAGAGCTTCTGCTGTTCCACCGTCAGCCTCGAGCGGGCACAATCACAAAGAATTGTCTGGCTTAATTGTTCTTGATTTTTTATTCTAGAAGGAACACAAAGTTGTTTTTATTTGGATTATGCCAAAATCAGCCACCTGCAAACCGTTTCGACATGCTCAACCAGAAATCTCAATGACCCACGCGAACGAAAGCCGATCCGGAGATTTTGATAATTTAGATCGCAGCTACCCTTGTTTGAAGAAGGCTTAGTGAAGCGTCATGTTCCATCACTGCTACAGATTGCGCCCACAGTGCCAAGTCCCCGCTACTCTAAAATTTCAAAGAAGTAATATGAGATACATAGAGGACGTTGATAATATCCTTGCATTTTCCCGTGTTGATGCTTCTCTCATGTATCGAATCGCTGCTGTCATGTATGCAGTACCAGTATTATTATTTGACGGTAGTACGAATTTCTTTGTGTGACACAACACACGTGGGAGAAATCTGGGGAGGTTTATTTGTGAGTTCAATGATTGCTAGAGAGGAAATCCCAACCAAATTAAATACTTCCCAAACTCCAGTGCAACAATGGTATAAACAGAAAACTCGCGAGCCTTGATTACTTTCGGTAGTATATCTGAAGAATTAAAAGTTAGCTGCAGTTGAGAGATGGCTGGCATCATATACTATGATGAATGTTACTGACCTTTTTGAATTGAAAGTGCAGTTGAAGTATACCCTGGTTAAGTAAATATGTTAGCAAGGAACAGGGCTTTAAAATGAATGAGGTAGGTTTGACTGCATGGCGGGTAGACGGAAGCAGAAGCCACACACATACCTTATCAAAACTACTACGAAAGCCACGGTCTCTTTTGGCAGAATAATCCCATTCTTTATCAACTATACGAAAGGCAATATCTTCGTAAGGCGGTCCTGCTATGAAGCGAATCAGGCATGTATCCTCCTCTCCAGCAGCTGCAAATGACTCTCCTCTCTTTCGGCCATTTTCACGAATAATTCGGAATGTTGGCGCCTTGGCTTTGTCTATGAGATCAGGATAAAATATGTTGAATTTGTAACCTTGGACGACTTTTGGTGGGGGATTGTCATGATCGTAATGGGTTTGGTTGTACTTATTCCACTCGTAGCCCATTTGCACTCGGTTGAAATAACGCGGTTTTCTTGGCCTGTATTGGTCTGCCCATTGAGGTGCCGAAGTCATTGTAAGGCTTTCCTCCGCTGCAAAAATTTCCTCGTTCTCATTAACACCCCGTGCGACCTCTCTATCGTACAATGCTTTCGTGGCTTGGGAGAAATCTTCGTTGACTACGGCGGAAAAGCGCTGTGTACCCGGAGGTGCATTGTTGACAGATGTACTGGGTTTGCTGACAGAGCTGGAGATAGGCTTCTCTGGGCCAAGTTGACGTGAAGGTACATAACCTAATTTCAAGACTTTGCGACGCTCGGCCACGACCCTTTTGAGGAATTCAGATTCGTCAATGATTTCGCTTGATTTGTCCTCAGTCCGTAGTTTGAGTAACGGTTCAGGGTCATGCTTCGCTGAGTAGACAAAGTGAGGCTGACGACGAGGTGTTTGCGCGGCGATCGAATTTGGTACGTCGGATCCCTCTTCAACCACTGGAGTAGGGCCAGATAAGAGTTCTTGCAACTTCTTCTGGACACTTTCTGCGTCCTCCTGTTGCTCTTTTCGTAAGGCGTCAAGCCGAGTATCCAGCACAGATTGATACACCTTCTTTAGTTTGGCCTTCGCCTTCCAAATCAACAAGCTCTTCAGGAGCTGTTCCCAATAATCTGTGTCTATTGGTTCGTTCGAGCAGAGCTTTGACCTAATTTGTCCTTCTAAACTTTCCAGCTGCTCATATGTTTTTGGTCCCAGTAGTTTGTCCACATCTGCAGCAACGGAGCTTATGGCGCGTTCGTCAGGACCGAGAGGCTTCAGTTTCTGGCGACGATCATTGCAAATAATTTGCATCGTCTTCCAATAATCCTGGTTCTTTTTATTCTTCTCCAAAGCAATGTAAGAATTAATGTCAGTCTCCAGCTCTACCAGTTGCGCATCTTTGAGCCCCTCGAATACACCCTCCGGATCTACCACATCGAGCTGAACCTCTTCTTCGTCAACGTCAAGGAGATCTCTATCGGGATCGATCACTCGAAGGATAACCGCCAACCAATCGATGGGCTTTGCTCGTCCTTCTCTAACTCGAATATCTGCCTTCTTCTTTGCTTGTTGTAGAACGAAAGTATCCTCTTCTGCTACCCATTTTTTTGATTGTTCGTCTTCGAGACTCTGGTTGTTGCGATAAGGTCTAGAACCGGAGTTACCTGCCGGGATTTGTGGTTTAGAGATTCGATTGGTTTCATCGCGACGTGGAGATGTGATGTCCCTTCCCCGAGATGGGCGACCCGCCATCATAGCTCTTCGTCCCGGATCCATGATGCGAAAGTAATAAGAATTTGGTCTCTTTTAGAGTATGGCGTTCGTACTTATGCACCGATATCTAATCATTTTTTGGCGGGAGCCACCGAGATTGAATATTATGATGCCTCAGGCTTCAATCATGGTGGCGATTCAAGAGGGAAGTTTACTACGTCACGTGAGCGGTACATAAGGCTTAGCGTTATCACTGCTTGACCCATTACTCCCCATAAAACTTTCGTCGATCATTTATTTTCATTTCTGCATAACCCTGCCGTGTTTTTGAGAAACCCTTCGAGGACGACCATTCACTCACACACAACCTTCAAGAATGTTTCATTGATATACAATCTATAAGACCATCTCACTCATATATTGTGACCTCCATAGATACTTCACTTATCATAAAACAATCTTCACAGATGTTTCACTCGCAATTGCAATTATCCCTGGTATCAAAGTCTCTGTACCTGTGGATGGAGAGACCTTGAAAGAAAGAATATGACGATAAAGATATCTTCCGTCGTTTTACATGGGGAAGTATGATCATTGCGTACCTGAAGTGGAAGACCCTTGCGGACATCACAAAAATAGTATCCCCGTTGGACTTGAGATGGCAATTGCAGTGTATAGGTTTAGATATCGCTCTCGGGGTATGTGTATTACCTCCCAGTTCTAGAGGTTCATGATCTAACCTACGTTATAAAAGTACTTTAATCAGAGCTTCTAATTCCCCACTCCTCTTCGCCGAGTCTGCAGGCAGCTTTGCAAGAGACGAAAGGCGTGCTTTTCTAAAGATCAGTTGAGATATCGAAACAACCTTCACACTCTTGCCTAAATTCGCGGAGCGAGAGAGAAGATAACATAGTCAAGCAAGAAGTCGACGTGGTTGTCAAACAAGAAACCAATGACTAAACGAAAAACCGATGCGATCAAGCAAGAAAGCAATGTGATCAAACGAGAGAGCAACGTCATTAAGTAAGAAAGCAACATGATCATGATTAAGCAAGAAAGCGATATGGTCAAACGGAAATGCGATGTTATAAGCAAGAAAGCGATGCGACCAAGATCAAACAAGAGACGCATGATGATTCCATCAATTCTCGAAAAGGCAAAGCCTACAAGACCTGCCGAACATTCACAGGCCGTGTCCTTATCGACCTCACCATAGGTTGACCCATCTTTGGCCTAGTAAAGCTCTTTTGCTATGCACAGATATTTTGGGTTCTATTGCGTACTTCCACATACTCTGTTTAATCTTGGTTAAATTATTCCTGTATTCTACCGAGTGTTGTGGGATATAACGGAGCACTAATCTAATCCTCCAATGGCGGGAATTTTCTCTCAAAATGACTCGGACATTCATATCCGCCCGGGTTATTATCCAAATACTTCTGATGATACACCTCGGCATCCCACCACTCTCCAGCCTTCAAAAGCTCCGTAACCACGCCTCCCTTCCACCACTTCTCGTTAACCTGTTTGGTAACCTCCCGCGCTTCTTTCTCTTGCTCTTCATTATGATAGAAGATGCCAGACCGGTATTGCGAGCCTGTGTCTGGACCTTGTCGGTTCGCAGTTGTGGGGTCGTGCATGCGGTAGAAGTACGTTAATAATTGGCGGTAGGTTATTTGTGAGGGATCGTAATGGATCTGGAGTGCTTCGGCATCTGGAGGGAAATTGTTAGTATCGAATTTTCATCAAGAATTGATGGAAAATAACATACGACCAGTGCGACCCGAACACACAGATCTGTAACTAGGACTATCTGTGTCGCCTCCAATATAGCCAACTCTCGCATCGTATAAACCCTTTCCGCCAAATTCTTTGCGATACATATGTTCGACGCCCCAGAAACATCCTGCTGCGATTGTGCACTTTTGCGCGGATTCAGGGATTGATACTTGAGAAATGGCTGCGGGGGTTACAGATAGCGAGGAGGAAGATGTGAAGGGCCGAATCAGACGGTTGAGGAAGTTGGGCATGGCGGCCATTATTGTGAGGAGAATGAAGAGTAGGAAGAGTTTGATTGAAATAGATTGGGAAGGCAGATTGTAAAATTTAAGATTGTTTCAGAAGTTCTAATCGTATTCGGATTTCGATTCAGTAAATTGATCTTTGCTGAAACTTTGTATGTTTGCGCCGAAATAATCGAGGACAAAAGTATCAATATAAGTAAATCCAAAGTGGCAATTTGTATCAAGTCGTCATGATCTTAATGGAGGGGATGGAGGGGATGGAGGGGTCCAACTAGGTTCAAACAATGGAAAAAAGCTTGGACCATGGGCAAATCTGACAAATCATTGATTTGGACCAATAGAAGAGCTTGGAAGCTTGCAATTGATTCCACATACTTTTCCGGTAAGGTAAGGAAGGTTACGGGTAGCTTTGAGCACACAATTGACAATGATTCTAAATCTAAATCTTATTCGGGGCTTCGTTTCCTTTGCTGACTGCTGCTATGAATATGTTGATTTTAACGAGCGGGCATGCACAGGAGATGAGATGTAACTGTGATAATTCCAACAAGAGAGATTTCTGTGAATTGAATACTACTACAGTGTGTATTACTGGACCGACACATATTTGGTACTGGATCGATATCAGATGGACCACGAGTTATGATTAAGGATGGAAACTATTAAAAGTAACTGTTAACATTCATATCTAGCTACAATCAACCGGTACCCATACCTACACATCTATCAAGAAACTAACTGATACTGGTAACCCCTAATGTATGTATGTATATATATGTCGATACCCGTACCGTACCTTCACAATACCATATCATACTATATATATATGCCATATGGAAAAACAATGCGATTGGAGGAATACAGACTATCTATCAGTATGTATATACTCGTAGTACCTATCTATGTTCCACCACATACCTAGGTAGGTACAGTACCGTCCGTAACCTTAACTAAATTACATGAAACGAAACGGAAAGCGACAGCTCCCCTTTGCTGAAATACCCGGTACTGTATACTATTATACCAAATTACGAATAGCGGGATCGGAGTAAGGATAAGGGTGAGCTCTTGGTTTGGCTTATTCGCACTGAGGCTCGTGTTCGTCTGGAATTTCTTCTTCTTCTTCTTCTTATCGGTAAAGGTTACAATACCCATGTAGGTTCATGCATGTTTCCGGGAGGGGAAGGGAAAGGAAAAGGAAAAGGAAATGGGGAAGAGGAAAGAGGAAGAGAAGAGTTGTGTTTATGATCAGTGAGCTAGCTGATTGATCTATGATTCATTACTGTACCTGAAATTCATTACCTGAAATTCATGACCTGAAGTTAAGTTTGATGGGAGACGGATATATAATCTCCATCGGATGATATGATGGATACAATAGATGGATGGATACAGGATATGAAAGGAAAGGAAAGGGGTATATGAGTATTATCTAATTTATGACGAGTAGTTATATTATACCTATACTGTAGTACTTTAATTACTACTACATAAGGAAAGTCATTCTGTAGTACGTATTAGAGCTCCCCCTTTCCGGATGTCGGAAGAGGCTGATCGGATATTATTATATATGCTGAATGAGAAAGGACGAACATGTTCTTTAAGTAGTATTTATTATATGTATCACTTCGAAATTCAAATAGATTCTTATTCTGTAATTGGTAACCTATCTCATGATGACAATGATGATGATATAAGGAGATGATGGGCAGAAAGAAAGTGATATTGTAGCATACCGGTACATGCATTTTCTTTGCTTTGGAGGGAGGTATGTACAGTATCGGTAACACCTATATAGGAATGTAGGAATGTAGGAATGTGATTAAAAATAGGCATTATATGAATAGATATCTAAAGCTCATCTCATTCATTGTTCAAGTAGGTTCTCCTCCGAATTGCTCGTATCTCAGGTACTATAATATAACATAACAATATATCTATGGATTGTTACATACTCTGTACGTACAAGTGTAACAAATCCATCTATTTTCTTGAAAATCCGATCTGATTTATTTATAATATCTGTATACATACTGGTATATAAAACTTTCATTTTCTATATCAAACCAAACCAAATTTAGATCATGTTATTGATTAGATTGGTACACTTTTGTATCTACCCGTTCGTTATCTAGTTACCGGTCTGTACAGTAAGGCTGAAGAACAACTGACGACTTCCTTCCTTCAAGCTTCTAGAAGATGTTGTGGAAGCTTAAGAGCGGAAGCTAAACTGTTATTTTAGTTTCTGGAGAGAGATGCATGGTTATGGATAGGATGGTATGGTGGTAAGCGAGCGGTGTGATGCGATACGATTGTTCAGGCTTATGGTGGTATAAGGGGGCTGACCTTGAATTTAGATAGGCTTGTGACGGACGGACGGATGGAGCTTTGAATGTTATTGTATTGTTTTGTATTGTTTGATTTTATGCTTATGTTATAGTTTTATTGCGAGATAGATGAGATGATAGACTGTGAATGAGGTGATGGAGATGAAGATTTGGTGGGAGGAGGGGAAATGAAGGGGAAAAGGAGAGGAAAATAGGGGGAAGAGGAAAAGAAAAAGGGAAAAGATATGGGCAGTGAAGGGATGGAGAAAGATTGGTTGGTTATTACAAAGATGCGAAAGTTATATCTGGTATTTATAGACTAGATCTTTTAAGGTTGATGCCAGTGATACTACCAGTCAGTATAACAAGGGTTGGGAAACTAGGAAACTAGTGAAACATAGGTAAAGTCTTCTCAGTTCAATACCTACCAGTATCTATTTTCACTGCTATCTCTTACCCTTTGTTGATTTATTTAAAGATATCGCTGAAGTACTGTAATATCGTAATATCATGAAATTCTCCGAGAAGAAAACATTGTTCATCTTGACCCATTTGCAGGGAAATCACATTAATTGGTTGAAGAATGAATCTTTATATCTCTAACAAGTCTATACCGCATTCCTTGCCATTACCCCCCTCCTCGCCCCCTCCGGAAAGGCCACCAAAAGCAACCGAGAAAAACTACACTACCACCACTTCTCTCACCCACCCATCCACCCACTTATTGCAGCGTTCTTACCGATGAAGGGGGTTTCGCGAAATCCCCAATTCTTATTAATTTCCAAGTCGAAATTCCAAAAATTGCGATTAAAATGTTGTCTCGTGCTAGGAATCACTGAATACTCCATTTCGAAGCTCGACGATCAAAGAGCGCTCCGTGCATTATACTTACACTCAAACTGCTAAGGTTATAGATCTATCTTGTCTTTCCTTCACCGTGATTGTAGATGGTTTCTATTTCTTACCTCATATTCTATAATCTATCTTCCTGCTTGTGCATTGTCAGCTTCATTGAAAAAAAGAAGGAATCTGTAGACAGGAACCCCTTCTTGCCCCTCCAGTTATATGATCCTAGGAAAGAAATAGTAAGCCATCATTCTGACATCTTGTGCCACCCACTCGCCCAGCTTTTTGGATATCTTCCATATAACTAATGCCTTTTTAATTATATAATATAGCTGATCAAATACTTTACAGACCTGTCGCACGATACATTTTATGCGTTATACCATCTGCAGACAAAGAAATCTTCGATTTGAATCAAACCACTGTACATATTGCAACCCCCTCACGAGCATAATCACAACTTGAGCTACCAATACACGAATCTCCTTACATCTTCTATTGTGGTGTCCGAGACTGGTGAATCTGCGAAATTACATAGCGAATCTCTTCAAGTAATCATACCCGATTTGATATTGCCCACTTTGGCAAACTTACATGCAGGACGGCCACTAGGCCGTAAGGTACCCACATGAGCTTCTGCGAGATCGTAGCTTGTCAAATACACACACAACATTATGAGCAGGAGTCGACGGGGAGCTGGCCCCTTCAGGGCCAATGGCGCAGCTATTCCAGATTCGTTATCCTTGATACGATCATTCAATATCGAAACCAATCCCGCTCGACCTGTACGACCTTCTCCCCTCACAGCTTCGACAATCCCAGATATGCCACTCGACCTTCTCGATCGAATACGGTCCTTTCCCCTTTTCCTTTCAGCTCCCGATTCATTCCTTGCCGCGATCGGGAAACATCTCCGACCTCAGGTGCATTCCTCTCGTGATCATGTATTGACTGAAGGGGATGATGCAAAGGCAATGTACTGGTTGGTACGCGGGGCTGTGGCCGTCACATCTCGAGATGGAGAAGCTACATACGCAGAATTAAAGCCTGGTGCTTTCTTTGGCGAGATCGGAATATTAATGGATGTGCCTCGGACCGCTACGATTATCGCAAGAACGAAGTGCTTGTTGGTGGTGTTGAAGAAGGAGGATTTGAGAGCTGAGCTTCCAAACTTCCCCGAGATGGAACAAGCGATCATGGAAGAGGCACAAGAAAGATTGACCATTTTAAATAAGAAGAGAAGGGAAGGTGGGTTTGGCCCAAAGCTTGTTTCCGCCGAGCTTCCTTCGAGAGGCGGAAAGCTTGCACGCGAAGCTGCGCCAGGTGAAGTTTCTACTGGTGACGTAGGGATTATTGAGAAGGGAGCAGTCATCAATAAGAAGAAGCGGAAATCTCCAAGTCCAGGTATAATTGACGATCCTTCGGCTGGCAGTGCGCTGGGTAGCGGGTTAGTGAATGTCAGGAAAACACTCAAGGAACTACCTTTATTTTCAACGTTACCGCCGGAGATACTTCACTTTCTTGGGTTGAGCGCCATGCCGAAGGCATATCCACCCTTTACGGATATCATTGTACAAGGTTCGACTGGCAATGAAATTTATTTCATTGTTAGAGGTGAAGCAGAAGTCATACACGAAAGTTCCAATGGACATACTGGACAAGCACCCCAAGGTTCAAATGGATCATACATCAGGCCAAGACTGAAAGCTGGGCAATATTTTGGAGAGGTTGTCAGTTTGTCTTTAGCTCCTCGAAGAACAGCTACAGTGCGGTCCATTACATCTGTTGAATGTTTGATGATCAGTGGGGAAGTCCTTGAGGAATTATGGAGAAGATGTTCACCAGATATACGGAAACAAGTAGAGGTGACCGCGAAAACTCGAATTGGGAAATCCGAAGACGAAGATGTTATCATGAGTGACGCCGATTCTCCAACTATCAATGATCTTTCCATCAATAACAGTCGCCCTAAACATCAAAGAAGGAAGACACTACCTCAAGTCACATTTACCCCTTCAAAACCTGCAAGTCCTCATAAACCTAGTCGTGCAGAGGATAGTGAGGTGATAGAACCTCTGGATCTAGATCCTTTCCTTAGTGTGGACATGGATAATATGAGGGCGAGGTCACGAAGAGGTTCATGGGCACCACCTGCGCCTGAGACTCCACCACCAGATGATAGATCTTCTGGACCGAGAACCAGATCTAGATCTCAAACACCGACACCTACGAAAGTATCACATGCTATGACTCCCCCAGAATCAGCTTTCCGACCAAAACGGCCTAAAATTTTCGAGCGGCGTCCAAGTCAATTTAGTCAGGGTATATTACCGGATTCCATTTTAGTCAACATTTTCTCATTTCTAGACATTTATCAGTTGATGAGATTACGACTCGTATCTCTCCACTGGTCAACTTTATTAACTTCCTCCCCAAACGTCTGTCACAACCTCGACCTCTCCCTCTATAACCGCAAGATGACCAACAAAGCACTCGTTGAATCCATTTGTCCATTTGTTGGCCACCGTGCCCGCAGCATCGACATCAGTAACTGTTTCCACATAACTGACGAAGGATTTGCCGCCATCTACTCACAGTGTGGCCCCGATATACATGTTTGGAAAATGAAATCAGTCTGGGACATCACCGCCAACGCCGTCTTGGAAATGGCCAACAGCGCCAAAGAACTCGAAGAAATTGATCTCTCCAACTGCCGCAAAGTATCCGATAATCTCCTCGCCCGCATAGTAGGCTGGGTCGTAACCGAACCAATCGCCCCTCAAGCTTCTCTCCGTCAAAAAGCCGGAACATTTATCCCACCAGTCGGAACTGTCGTCGGATGTCCAAATCTTAAACGTCTCACACTTTCCTATTGTAAACATGTTACGGATCGATCAATGGCGCATCTGGCGGTTCATGCGCATCAAAGATTACAAAGTATTGATTTGACGAGATGTACGACGATTACCGATGGCGGGTTCCAACATTGGAGTATTTACAAATTTGCCAAGTTGGAAAAGTTAGTTTTGGCGGATTGTACGTATTTAACGGATAATGCTATTGTTTACTTGACGAATGCGGCGAAGGGGTTAAAGGAATTGGATTTGGTATGTTGAGCCCCTGGAATATCCTAGATTTTCTCGCTAACGATTATCTCTAGTCATTCTGCTGCGCTCTCTCTGATACCGCTACCGAAGTCTTAAGTCTCGGTTGTCCTCTTCTCCAATCACTCAAACTCTCATTTTGCGGCTCCGCCGTCTCCGACTCTTCACTCCGATCCATCGGGCTCCATCTTCTTGAATTAAAAGTTCTTTCGGTAAGAGGTTGCGTCCGAGTTACAGGTGTAGGTGTAGAGGCTGTGGTAGAGGGATGTAGTAAATTGGAGATCTTCGACGTCAGTCAGTGCAAAAATTTGAAAGGCTGGTTAGATGGAGGTGGCATGGAAATATGGGCATCGAGGTGGAGTTCGAGGCGTACAAGTAATGGGAAACGAAGTTCGAGGGGAGGTGCTGGTGGAGGTACTAGTGGTGCGAAGGGAAAAGGCAATTTAGTTTTTTGGGTGGAAAAGGGGAGCGGGCCGGGAATGGGTTTACGGTGATTTTGAGGTGTTGGGGTGTGTTGTGTTATGTTGTTTATGGTATGATATGATAGGATATGAGATGATATGATATATGATATGAGATCTACTGCAGAGTTCAATAAATAGGTGGGCTTTATGGGTCCTTGTTTTATTATTTATTCATGGGGTGGGTGGGGAATTAACATTACGGGGATAGGATAGGATAGGATGGGAGGGAAAAGAAAGAGGGATATGAGGGAAAAGAGGGAAAAGAGCAGGATCCTCATTCTTATTCTTGATATTTATATATTTATATATTTTTGGGGTTTTTTTGGTGTGTATGTTTAGATGAATAGATGAATGGATGATTGGATGGTTGAATAGATGAATGATTAAATGATGTTTATGGTGTGTATGTATGTATGTATTATGTATGTATGTATGTATGTATGTATGGAGGGGAGAGGAGGGGAGGGGAGAGGAGAGGAGAGGAGGGGAGAGGAGAGGAGGGGAGAGGAGAGGAGAGGAGGGGAGAGGAGAGGAGAGGAGAGGAGAGGAGAGGAGAGGAGAGGAGAGGATTTGAGAAGAGGGGATGATGATAGGAGAGGGGATGGGGAGAGGAGATGGAATGAAGAAGGATAAAAAGGAATGAGGTAAGATAAAAAGATGAGGAGAAGGGGATGTGGAGAGGGGATGAGAGGAAAGCATATGAAAAATATGAAAAGAAGAGAGGATATGAGAGGATATGAAAAGAGGGGATATGAGATGAAAATAGGAGAGACGAGTTGAGGGGATGAGATGAGTTGAGTTGAGATGAGGAAATAAAACGAGGAAATAAGAAGAGAACAGGTAAATATACACTCTAATCCAATCTACTCCAATCTAATACATACAGATTTGTATTGTATTGTATTGTATTGTATTGTTGCTACGAGTATATTGATTTGATTTGATGGGACGGTGTGTGACGAGATAAGATGAGATGAGTAGAACAGAACTATTGATATCAATGGTTTTGTTCACTTGGTAGGTAGGATACCATAGGTCTCAGAATATAGCAGTGTATGGGAAAGTATGAATAAGAATATGATATGATATGATATGGGTATTTTACTATTTTGTTTTTGCTTTGTTTATCGTTTATTGTATATTGGTAGAAGGAGAGGAGAAACATAAGGTGAAGTCCGCAGACATTCATAACCATCATCCAATCTCAAAAAGCAGAATATGCCTACATCCCCTGAAATTCCTATCGCGCCATTTCCTTCAAGTCGTCTCGCTGTGCTACTAGACTCATATTAACGCTCCCCATCTCTCTCATTTCACTACCCCACCCTTCTCTACTTCTTCCTCTGTTGCATCATCAAAATCTGAACCATTCTAATGAAAATATTCAGGAAATCTAATTCCAGTGAAATACTCTCATTAACAGCATCTCTCCTCATCATGCCCCTCTCGGCCATTCTCGCATGTGCCAAGATCTTTTGTACATCGTAGAGTGTGAATCCACCAAATACAGCCAAACCTCCCCATAACCAAATATTCTCAGTAAAAGCCAATGTTCTGACAGCGGTAGCTGGGAGGACCAAGGGGGCGAGACCGGAAACAGCGACGAGGGCTACACCGGCGAGAAGAGGTCCACCGAGGTAGAGATATTTTTCTTGTTTGGCGGTGGCGCCAACAAAGGATATACTACCCATCATGGCGATGGTGTAGAGACCTGCGCGTGCGATAATGGCGGGGGGAGCCATGAAGAGAAGGGGTGCGATGAATGCGGCTTGGGTTACGTTGAAACCGGTCCAGAGAGCGTATTTTTGAATATAGCTATTGCATATTAGTTTACCGTCTCTCTGAAACATAAAATCCCAAACATGGAATATAATGAGGGGTAAAAACTCACTTGCTAGGATCCGTAGCTCTGGTACCCATCATAGTACCAATACTCAATGCCATACCTCCAATCATGACAACCCAAGGATTGGTAGCCATCAGTCTGTAAATAAAACCACTTTGAAACATGGCGCGGGCAGATAATCCAATGATTCCAATGCCAACTCCGGTGTGCATGAAGGTATCGTTCAGGTAAGTGCGTTCGTATTCGGGCATTCCGCCATCTTCACGGGTTTCGCGGTTGAAGACCTGAGTTTCGTTAGTATCTCTGGAAATATAAAGATTATGATAGTAGAGAGTCATAAAGGGAAAACATACCAAGTTGATAGCCAACAAAGTTCCTCCAAACATAGCACCACCCACTATCAATTTCTGTACCATGGTACCATTTGGATTCTGCACAGTGGCTGGTTGTTGCATATATGTCCTTGATCCTCTAAATGCATTTTGAGCTTTGGTGAGTGTGCTGATTGGAGATGTGGTGCGCGATGTGAAGAAACTGTTTGTAGGTTTGGAATGAAAAGCTCGCGCGGGGGCGGATCTAAAGGCGGTTTTGGAAGCGATCACCAGCGAGCTGGTTAACTTAAAAGGTTGGCGCATGGTGAAGGCCATGATTATTTTGTATATGTGATGTTATCGATCGAAAGATTGTGGTGTATATTGTTGATTGTTGATTGTTGATTGAAGGGATCGAGTAGGAGTGATTTTTATGGATGGCAGAGTAAAGGCGCCGGTGATGACGGTGTTCGGAGTTTGTGGCTCGGAAAAAAAGAGGGAGGGATGGTCAAAGAAAGCTCTAGAAGCGACAATATAAACGAAACAACCTTAGTACTTCTTGACTGATTTTATATAATACAATAATCATCCCAAAATTGTATATACTCGAGCATTTATTCCATTGAACTTACGGAGTAGGCTGGTAGTTTCACATTATCGTTCAATAGAGTATTTCACGCTGGCCAATGGATGAGTTAGCCATTCAGACTTCTAGGATTTCAAAGCGCGAAACCTATACAGTATATTGAAGAATTATATATTTCATCTATCTCTCTTCCTCGTCGGTCAGACTCCCTTCAATTGATGGAGAGTTCAATCAAACATCTTTCAAAAACCAGCTTGCTTTGTACCAGTGTCGAAAGTGCATTGATTCAGTGCCCGGATCTATCCACGATATATGGCACGTAATTGGGATGTGATCATTCTGTCAATGTCGATTGATGCATAGAAAGTTCGACATTGGGATTACACAAGAGCACTCATAAGGTAAATTTGACTTTATAACCAATCGTAACAGCTACAAGGGGGCATTTTCGAGGCGCTGTTGGAGCAAGGGAGCGTATTGCTCTAACGAATTGAATCCCTCTTCTTTGGTCGTATCTTAGTTATGTACTTGATCACAGCTCTGTCGATTCATTCTAACATCTTGTTATTTGTAGTTGAATAATTACAGATGTAGGCAACAGATGATGCTTTGTCAACGGTAGAATATGCTCATCTGTACCGACCACTCCTTGAGCTTGATGGGATCCGACTTCTTATTCTCGAGCCGGCAACAACGAATGAAGTACAATGTCACCCAATCCATACCACGTCGAACGATTGCAGCTTGAGTATGATGGAATACTTTGTTGCGCTATCTTATGTTTGGGGCACAAATTTGACTTATGTCATTCGAATCGATGGTCATCTAATTTCACTCATGGTGAATCTCTTCAATACACTTTACCATTACGTCAGCTACAAAAGCTTTTAGGCTATGGGAAGACGCCCTGTGTATCAAGAAAATGACAAAAAGAAGGTAATTCGGGTTGCTATGATGATAAAAATATATAAAGCTACATTGCGAACTATCATATATCTTGAGACTCCCTCAACCGAAGGAGGTTGGCCCGATTATTGAGAGGGTTTGCCACCAAAGCCTGCCTATCTGGAAGTTCAAAGAAAAGTCTGAAGGATATTTCTAAGCAGACCAAGGTTTTGCAGGGTATGGATTGAGCGGGTATGGATTTGGTAGGACGTATTATCTTTTCTCAACCCATGGATTCATTATGGCAAGTCGACTTCACTGGGATAATCTTTTTGCTATCATGGCTAGTAGCTTTGTATTGTCGAGTATTGCCTTGCACATTCATTCACACGGAAGAAATGCTGGATATTTAACACAACAGGATAGGATATCTTGTCTTTCGAAGATATACCGTAGGAAGGGGGAAAGGGTTGGATATAAAAAGAACATTGCTTGTCCCTGCAATCGAGAGAAGAGATTGAGGTGACAGACCTTGGATATGTTATTTTTGCCCATTTTGACATTACTTCAGAACTTCAGATAGCTTTCACCCAAGTCTAGCAGTAGACTATTTCAAGTCGTGCAAAAAGATTCTCAAAGACTTTACAATGTACCAAATACTCGTAGAGTCTTTCGAGAATTTCGCATACTTTTATTCAATAACAATACATCCATCCATCATCTACTCAGCTACAAGACCTTGCGACGACAGGAGTTCCAGATGAATAGCCTGGAAAACTCCCTCCAAGCCTTGAGCTTTACAGTATTAAATTGAATCTAGAGCCAGGAAGGAGACAGACTATGATGATAGATAGGGTTGTATATACTCGTAGAGTACATTACATTACATACTAAAGATTCACGAAATTCTATCGGCCAGTCCTAGTCCTGTGTTATTGTTATTGTTGGTATCACCGTGGTGGTGATGAAGTCAATAGTACTATCGTATTTCACGTATCTTGTATTGCCTTAAGGAACTAACTATGGATCTGCTAATACTAAATGATATACGCTCCGTGGTGGTCAAAGTGTCGCTTATTGCCCTAGCCCGTAGCCCTATGACCTACTACAGCTAAGTGAGTGATACCCAGACAGTTATCATTCTCATTTTCATTCTCATTCTAGCTACTTCTAAGTGAGTAGAGGTATGAATATATAATAACTAAAACCAATACCAATACCTCATTCATTGTCCGAGACATAGTAGCCTAAAACTAGTTGCGTATATATAACTAATAGCAATACAATACTTTCCAGACCCCATCTATTCGCAGTATTACACCGAGTACACAACAGTTACATACTCGAGTAGATATAGTTGTTGAACAGATTTCAAAGGTGTATATACTAAAAACGTATATAATATAAAAGGTAATTCATTCTATCTAATCTTTCATCTTATACAAAATAGGAGATACTAATTATAAAAGAGATCCTATTCTGCTTTATAAAGCAATACATTTTATATATCCAAATAGGATTGATATATATATACTAATAATAGTAGAACTCCAAGATTGAAACCACAGATATATACATCATTTTATATGAATATAATCGAATAAACGCAATGCGAATAAATGTATGGAAAGGAGAGGGACAATCCACAATGATGATAATAAATTTCTTTCATCCTTTCGCGATTTTTCTTTGGGGGCATACGAGTGAGTATATGCTATTGAAACCTACCTACTCACTTGTAATCTAATACTCGTACAAAGAATACCTATTTATATTCGAGTAGGTACAGTATATGTGATATACTCGAGTAAAGAAATAAACTATTCGAGTATTCGAGTAAAAAGGAAATTCGGACTTACTAGCAAAAAAAGATGGAGTGGTTCTTGGGATAGGTAGGTTATCGGTAACTCGAATTGAGTATTGTATCTCGCATCTTCAAAACTATGTGAAAATGAGAGTTTAGTATTGAAACCGAAATACTCGGATTTATATCGATGTTGAGTTATCTATTATTATATGTTGGTGGTCTTGTGAATGATATACTCGTACTGAGTATTCGAGTATTTAGATAGGTAGATAAATAAGGGGAAGATGAGTTTTGAATATTCGTTGTGTTGTGCTGAAGTGATGAGTGGGATGAGATTGAGACGGGGGTTTTTAGTATTTTTGGCTCGAGTAGTAAGTAATATAATGACTTGGATTGGATATACGAGTAAATAGAGTTTCTATCTGATGCGCCAGACTTGGGCTATATGAAAGGATGTAAACTTCTGTATGATTCATATGATTCATATGATTCAATATCTCAAAATAAGATCAATGAATGCAATATAATATCTCATTAATTGAATGCAATACATTCATGTCGCAGTTTAGGGGCGTGAAAAATAACTACGGAGAGCGTTAGCGACCGTTGTTATTTTTAGCCCCGAAATTTTTCTAATCACAGAATAACAAAAAACACACTACAACACCAAAGCCATCCACATCCATCTGCTCTGCTCCTTCCTTTGAAGGACAGATATTCTATCCTGATCCCCTCTATTACAACCAAAAAAATGCAAAAATATCATGTGGGCCTAATCCGGGATCGAACCGGAGACCTCTTACAATTTAGATTTGACAACCCAAAGCAAGAATTCTACCACTGAACTATCAGGCCAAGATCACTTTCAGGCCAATTTGGCTGATTTTGATGGAAGTCGACGGTTGTTTGGGTATCTATATTCAATTCAGAGCTCTTTGTGTGGCTTTGTGTGAGTGGGTTCGGCTCCTCTGTTAGTGTGTAAGGGGTCCGAGGGAGGGAGAAGGAAACTGAGCCGAAGAACCGAGGAACTACCGGTACCTACCAATCAACCGCCATCGCCAAATTGGCCTTGAAAGTGATCTCGGCCTGATAGTTCAGTGGTAGAATTCTTGCTTTGGGTTGTCAAATCTAAATTGTAATGCCTAAAGGCATTACAAAGATTATAGAGTACTGTATATAGGAATCAAGAGATGGGAGGAAATGATATGGAATTGTCGGGTGCTGATTGGAAGTGGGGTACTTGTGATAAGATAAGGATACCACTGAGTCCAAACGGAGAAGCTTTTGAACCCTTTCGACTTGAAGGAAGATACAGATACTTGACTACACATGTGAATGTTCGGAGAACCCGCAGACATTGAAAATAACTCAGTTCTCAATACAAAGATAGACAACAACTAAAAACTTATGTGAATGTTTGGATAGCCCATAGATATTGAAAATAACTCAGTCTTCAATACAAAGACAGACAATTGAAAACTTCTGTCTGATTACCCAATTCCTTGGCATAATCCTTTGTGTCTCCTCACGCCCTTTAACCCTTGAATAGAGACAACTTTGTCATCACTAATACTCGTAATTCACTCAGGAAAGCGGTCTTCAATTCTCGTAATCAGAGACAACTGTCATTCTGGTGAGAATCGAAAAGCGATCCAACAGTTGGTCTTGAGGAATTTTTATAAATATCACCATGACCGACCCTTTTACTTCTTTTTACATTGTTCTTTCAAACATACACTAGGTATTCAAAATGGCTTCCATCACTCATTCCTCAAAACCACAGATCGTATTGATACCCTGGGATCCCACTTCTCCTGAACATGTCGCTCGATTAGTACAGCAACGTATCGCTTGCGGATGGGATCATGAAGCCGTCGAATCATGGAGAAAAACTCAAGAGAGTGGAAAGCTCAATAATCAATGGATTGTGGGTATTCTTCCTCATTGTAATGCAATGCAAATTCCCAATTCTCAATGCTAAATTATCCAGGTTCTTTCAGATTCCGACCCTGAAAAAGATGCCAAAGTACTCAAGCATACTGAGATGTACCCTCAAGAATCAGAACCGCTAGTTGACTCTGCTCCATCTTTTGGAGGCAAACCTCGAGATATTCCCTCGCCACAGAGAACTTTTACCCCAATTGGACATATCTGTTTAGGTCTTCCGTCTGAAAAATATCTAACACTTGGATATATTCCAAAAACCGAAGGGTTTTACTGGATATCCAACTTCTACATCTCCCGTGCCCTTCAAGGAACCGGATTGGGAAAGATAGCTATGGACACTGTCGAGAATTTAGCAATTTCCAATCCGTTGTACGCGAAAACTTTGGGTTTGAATGCGATTAATAAAGTAGATCCAGAAAGGGAAGAGAAATATAAGGTTCTTGACTTGGTTATTCCACCAGTGAGTATATTCGAAGTCGATTGTAACGGGAATGCCGCATGTGCGCAGACTGATATTCGTCTAGTTCTCAAATCAAGAATGGTATGAGAGAAGAGGTTATCAAGCTTATAAAACGGTGGAAAATCTATTTGGTCCAAGAGTTGACTCGACGGGAAAATCTTGGTATTGGGGTTCTGTGTTTTTGAAAAAGGAAATTTCCAATTAGTAGGAAGTAGGAAGCAGTGGTCAATTGGATTAGGTAGGAGGTACCGTCAACCGTGGGTTCTCTCATCGAATGCATGGGTCTTATAGATGTATAACCATCTTACATTCTACAGCTTCAAGACCACGATCAAAATCAACTATATCATCATCTCTAAGTCTACTACCCCTCTTTCGGGCCACCCTAAAAAAAAGACCCCCATCTCCCACACCATATAACTCAACAACTATTCAACTTCAATAAAATCGCCTATACCATCACTTTCAATTGTACGATCGCTATCTTCAGCATTAATTTCACGGTCTCCAGCCACGATTTGCGCCTCCCTAATAGCTCTAATCCCTGTAAACCTGGTATTTGGACTAGTAACAACCTTACGTCTTTTCTTAGGTCCAACAGTATCCAATTGATACTCCAATTGCTTTATACGTTTCCCTAATACTATAAGTTTATAATCCTTGATATCAAAAGCTTTATAATCTTACGAAAAAGCAAGCATCTCGTCGCCAAATCGGGCTCTTTTTCTTGAGTTATAGTTGATGCATATAATCGAAGGTCCACTGCTTTTTGAGGGATTCTCCAAGTAATAGCTGATGCCCCTATATTCCATTGAAACTGGGGATCATCATCAGAGGCTGGGTTAGGCGCTAAAACCTCTTGGTTACTATTCTCAAGTAATAATCGACTTATAAGGGGTTTAGCACGGTTTTTGGGCTATAGATCTGATGCTTTCTACCCAGCTTTAATGTTATAAACTATTAGATCTTCCATTCTAGCCTTTTGGTAGCAATAAAGGAAGCTACGCTTTCCAATTGGTGTAGAATCAGAAAAAGAATTCAGATTATTGAGTGCATGTCGATAGGCATTTTTCAAAGATGAAAAAACTGATAAATCTAATGGTTGTAGGATGTGTGACGTATGTGGTGGTAGGAATAGAAGACATATGTTGTTTTTGAAGCATTTGTATATGAAAGGTATAGTTTTATAACTTTCATGTTTATCCAATATAAGTAATTGTGGTTCTTTGGTTTGAGAGGGGGTAGTTTGAGGTATAAAAACCTTTTCTAACTATTTTAGTTCTGTTGTATCTGCAATCTACCCATTTTCTGTAGCAGTGAAGTTCTAATCTTTATAAAAATCAAAATCAGTGGGAAACTATTGTTATTGAACATATTTTCTCTTATATATAACAAATGATTTGAAAATCTGTCTTATCGCCGAAATACACTCGATAAAAGATGTCCAAACTTTCGAACCAGACTGTTTTTTTTTAATATAATAACCCTAGAAGCTTCCTATTACTAGTCCATTAAGACCTTAACCCTCTATTTTTACTAGCCTCATCTATATTGTATCGATTTTCAGGTTTTATATCGATAATCTCTGGTAAATCGAGTTTTCGAAATTATGGTGTGATAATATCATGTGAAGCACCCGAAACTTGGGCAGAGTTGATTTTATATTATCTCTTGATTCTAATCTCTGGATTCCTCTCCAAAAAGTTGTGTATCCATCGTTTCCCAAGGGTAAAATCGACTTCTTTTATATCGAGAAGATGCTTTTCAATTTCACAAATTTGCTGATGAGTAGGACTATTATCTAAGCTCTTCTGTACTAATATCTATTCTATTAGTCGTCTCTCCTGAATCGGGGTAATCTTTTGTATTATTTGGGTACCTTTTTTATGGGAGACTTACTCATTGGTATGGTTCTGAAGTATGGTACAAAAGATCCCATAATCCAGAGCAGCTTTTTGTACTAAAACACCATTTGCGATAGCATTTAAGGCTTCAGCAATATTATCTTCCTTATAGAGGTTTGTTATTATATGAATAATAGTATTTTCAAAATTTGAAATCAATTAATTGAATGGTTGTTTAATCATGAAATATTTAAGAAGGTAGGTTGCTGAGGCGGTGTGAGTTTTTAGGGTGGCCCGAAAGTGGGGTAGTTGACTTACTACAGTAATAACAATTATCTCAGAAACTTATTAATCATCGTCGACAGCAACAGTAACAGCCATCCAAATCTCAAGATTGAATATCCAAGCCACCCACCGGTACGGTATCGTCAATCGTAATCCTAACCTCAGACCTCCAGAGCCTTTCATATACATCTTATCAAATACTTTACTCGCACCTCTTTTCTCACCAAACAAATTTGCATTGCGACCTTCATAATAGTATACCAGTCCAGTACTGATTCTAAGCGTGAATCTTACTAGCTAGCTAGTTATATATAACCGCTTTCTTGATCCCAAAACTTGGTGATACCCCTTTTGAGTCTTGACGTGATAGTAAGAATATTCATCTTTGTTTTTGTCGTATACGAGTAGAGGAATAATGCTGGTGTGAAGAAACCTCATCTAATTTGTAAATAGTATAGTGTAGTGTTTGAATCGACTTTCCTTGCCCTTCTTCTCCTTCTTCCCCTTCCTCTTATTATATACGAGTATTCATAAGTGTTTATTGCTCATCTTCATGTTGGTTGGTTGGTTGGTTGGTATTTCAGGGGTCTTCTGGAAGTTTGTAAGATCTTACATGACAACACCCTTCACTCTCCCCCCTTCCAAGAAAGAACATTTACACAAACATACAGACGTAGTACCACAGTACAGAGTCCTAGAAACTTGACTAGAAAATTAAGTAACAACATCGTACAGACAGACCCATACTCAAGGATCTAACTACAGCCCAAAACCGCAACACAACACAACACAAAGCAACGCAACGCAAAATTACCTAAACTGTAAGAACTGCTCTCTTAGACACTTACCCCGCTCCAAACCAAACCATCACTCAAAGTCCCAAACACAAACGCAAACGCAAACGCAAATCTCTCTACCCAGCATTAGCATGTCCTCCCATAGATACACACGCAACCAGAACTTTATATCGCAATCTCATCATCCCCAGTACTTGCCCTTGAACTCTCCACCTCTCCACATCTCTAACTCTAATCACAACTCCAATTAATGTCCCAGAGATCGACCCTCTCAAGATTGTCTCGGACGGCATCAACGGTATACACGGTATTTATGTAAAAGACATATACCCATGCATAACCCACGCCCCTCTCCAACCTACCAGCTATTATCTTATCTTATCAGTCTACGCATACATCTAGTGTCTGCGCTTTGAGCTGAAGGACTTTCATTTTTCATTTTTCATTTCCAATTTTATTTTTACAGTATTGGTCGTGATAGGAGCTGGAGCTAGAGCTAGGGCTGGAACTAGAAGTGCAGATGTGATGGAATATTCGAATTAGTCATGTGAATGATATAAATGATATCCGAGAGCGCGAAATATCCGTTGCGTCTTCGGATTTGGTGGTTGAAATGTAGATAGGGATGGGGAGGAAGTAGAGGTGGAAGTGTTACATGTATCGTCAACGCATGTATGTATCGTATGTGAGGTGTATGAAGAGATAAGTGAAATTAAGGGAATACAGTACTAATCTCGATATATTCGTCTGCGGCGAAATTCGTAATATAAGGTATACTGATATTTGAATCCTCATGTTCTTTCGACGTCTATTCTCCTGTTTTGCGATTAATAATTTGGTATTAATGTATTCTCAAGTATCATACTTACTTTACTATACATACAGTGCTGATTCCTCTTTCTCAATATATATCACCTCGTACGCGCATGTTTGGCTGATGTGTTTGGCTGATGTACTCGTATATAGTATCCATAAATCTCAATCTCATCAGAATAAATAGGTCGATTGTACAAGTAAGTACTCATTAATCAATGATGCAGATTTATGCAGAACCGATGCTGGCGAGATTCGTGGGACGAGGGCTTTTGTGCTTGGGTTCGATGCATGCATGGGATTGCCCATCCTTTGCTGTTATTGTGGTTAGCAAAGAGAGTTGATGGATTTTGTGGAGTCTGGGATCTTGGTCGTGTTTATTTGAACTTCGTGTTTTATCTGGTGATGGTGATGGAGGTAGGGGCGCGAAGGCGCGAAGTATGGGGTCTGGGGATATGTGAATAAGTGAGCTTCCTTGAGGAGTTCTGGGAGAGGGGAGGTGCTGAGAGCTAGCAGGGCATGCAAGAGAGGGGTGAAGGGGGTGAGGAGGTGCTATTTACATCTGCTATGTTTAGCGATAGTCTCAGGGGTAGAGGGTAGTGTAGTGTAGTGTCTCTGTTGAGATGCTTTTGTATGAATAGAATAGAATAGAATAGAATGGATGAGGGAGAATCGATGAAGACAAAGATTGTAGTGTACACTGTGTAATGGATGAAGTGAGAATGCTCCAAGATCTAGATTGCTATAAGGTACTGGATGATAGATGTAAGTTTCTTCTTATGAAAGAATCTTGCTTTGACAAAATGCTTAGAGATTGAGTTCATGGAGAATTGGGAGAAGGTATTAATTCTAAACTAGAGTTTAGTCGTCTGTGGTTAACTCAGTATTTAGATGTAAAGTCATAGGACAACAGCTAGAATCGTATCAACTAGTAGGCTACCATTAGACAATGTAAATGTGTGTTTTTGTGAATCCATTTATTCAAGTTCCAATATCATTGAATGATCACTCTCACTCCCGAAAGCCTCAAACAAATCCAATAGAGATTGAACTTCTCCATAGGTGAGGTCCCAAAAGATAATTATAGTTGGCTGATTCTAGAAGTACCAGTACTCTCTCATGTATCTAAAAATTCTTCATCCAAATCACAGCTACTTCCTCCAACTATTCCAGAAACCCCGAGAACTTTTTGAGCCGAAAAATACGGCAAATGCGTAGGTAGTGAGAAGTGTGAAGACACAATTTTTTCATCAAGTAGAGAATTATCGAATTACTGGGTGGAAATCTAGCATACACAGTTTAGCACGATGTTACATAGCTCGATGATATCCTTACCAATCCAGAAGACATGTACCCAGAATCAGAACGACAGACAGCTTGGAAACAGACTGTAGGTTGAGATATTAATGTCTTGATGAACATTGAACTACACTAGACTGATAACATAATTATTTACTGTGCAAGTGAGGTGTGTAATTCATGGCTGGACACTTCAATCTCATCAATCAAAATTGAGATATTCCACTCAAAGCCATCCTACCGATAGCAGTTTGTATTCGGAAGTTTCTAGACAAAACACCAATACTCAAGTACAGTATATATTAGAGTGCCAATGGTCAACGTTTCGATGTCTAAAAAAATATGGAGTCTACCCTCAAATGGGCTCAACCTCTTCATCGCATACTTTGGATGAGTTGAATCTCTCAGATGAACTTAAATCTTCAATGTAGATTTTGAGAAGAATCTGGTTTAAAAGGAGCACCGCATGGACTCGATACCTACCTCTGCAAGAGCACAAAATAATGCTTCGAGGTGTATTTAGAGAAACTAGTCGTCATGTGTAAAATGATTACATATAATGCTATACATTTCTTTCACTACCTTTGCAACTAGACTTGCAGGAAGTATTTCTTCTCAAGGTCTCGACTTTAATGGCATATAACATGCACCGGTTATGCTAATATGACAGATTGCGCACAACTTTTATTCGCTCACTAAAGCGTCGTGATAGGAGTTACTAGAAAAATCTGCCATCAAAAGAGTAACCTGTACGACCCGTGCCACTTTCTTCATCTCAAGCTGTATTCGACTCATGTTGCCATGCCAGTGCTGATAGTTTGCGCAACGACTCAACACCAAAGCTTCTCCAGCCCCTTTCCGAAGTTTCATGCACATAACCGCCTGAAATGCAAACTTTTACGAGCTGCATGTTCCTCTTATTGAAAAATCGTTCC